GTAGACCCTTGTCCTTCTATCTGAGCTGTACAGATGAAATCTCGACTCGTCAGTGAACAAAACCCATCCCAATCTTGTCTCCTGTACCGTGGGTGCTGTCTGCACCAAGCAAGACCTGCCGTCGGTGATGTTAATAGTTGCTGGAATATTGCTAAAAGCGGCGTAAAACCAAACTCACTCAGTCAGTCAGCCGTACATATGATTAGGCATTGATAGAGGTCACAAATGGTCATGTCATCTAATGGACAACAATTCGTTGTGCAGAGTTGAATCCTTGTTATCGATTATTCAAATCCCACAATTGCCGAGATTATTTCCAGGTTTGACAGCCCCCTATCCCGGGAGGACAGCGTGGTGATCGTGGTCTCCAGCAAACGCCTACAAATGGAACAGGTTGGTTGAGAGAGAGCTTAAACAACAGGCAAGCTCACAGTAACCTATCAGAGAGTGCATATTTGCTGTTTTTTTAGATCGGTGTGTTGACACACGTACAGCCGGTAAAGTCAGTAGCAGGTTCACATTGTCGCCGATTCACGAACTATGGAGGGACTTTTGAAGACTTGTCAGCTGCACAAATAACCGGTGAACGATTATTTTGATAACCTCCTAACCCCCCCCCCAAAAAAAAAACAACACCCCCAAACAAAACAAAACGAACACAAACAAAACAAACAAAACAAACAAACAAAAAAACACCCCACAAACAAATAAAAGAACTATCTGGATATAATATACAGTTCAAATGTTAAAACGAGTACCAAGACCAATTTCCAGGTTGTGAACAGAAAGCAACCTATTTTCAGATTTCAACACGCATTAATAAAATATGTCAATTTCATTTGAAGGTAATGGTTTATAGTATAGGGTTACCAGGCCAACTAGTATCAACAACAGGCGTTTTGCGAGTGTGTTAAACACTCTTGTGTCGTTGAATATGATTACGTACATAGTCCTAAGTGCATCATGTCGGTGAAAGGTTCGCAATGGGAACTGGTTACATTTAGTGGATAGTTTTGTACAGGCATATGCATGTACAAGAAAAGATATGTGCCAGTTTAGCACACATTGATAGTTGCGGTGGCTGTAGGTGCCCTTGAACTAAGGGTGAGACACCTGTCATCGTTTCTGGACTAACGCTAATTTAGCGATGACACAGATTAAGTCATTAACCAAATGGTAATTAATGATACCACAGCACAGCTCGGTTCAGTATGACTGTCTGTAAATGTACAATACATATGATAGGATAGGGTATTCATATGGCACACATATCCACGCAACTTGTATATGCTCAAGGCGCTGGTATTTATTCCCTCGATCATTGGATATCAATCTCAATAGCACATCGTATTATCAAGCTCAACTCCCTTGGGAGCATACTCTTTGGCTGAAACTAGACGCACCGAGTCATTGCAGCTTTCCAATCCTTACAATACATCACAGTGGTGAGGATTAACAATGGAGATTACATGTTATCAAATGTTTCAAATCTATATGTACTATACTCTATCTAAATAAAACATCTTTTTGTACTAGGATGTGAGATGAACTTCCCTCTTTCATCTACTCAGGAAATTAGTTATCATCCTACTTTAACCTCTTTACTTTTCTACATAAGCATCCTACTCTAACCTCTACTCTACTCTACGAACATCCTCAGTGACTAATTGATCCTAATTGTCCCAGTAGTAAATCAGTTACCACCTTAATTGGTCACACCAGTTGTCCCAATTTTGGCAGTGAGATACAACACCTGCATGGCCCAGTGCACAACAGACTGCCAAAAATGGGAAATTACCCGTCTGGCCTTGAATCGGACGTGACATAAGCACCATATGATATTCTCAAGTGATATATTCTTGGGTTTAGTCGTATATATTGATCTATTGATAATGTCCCACTGTCGCCCGTTTTCAATAGTGCACAAGTTAATCATGGTTCTGGGCCCTTATTGTCGAAACGTTCGTAGCCCTACGGATTCTTAACTTTGATCGTATCCAATGTGTTAAGAATGGACTTAAGAAGTTCGTGGGGCTACGAATGTTTCGAGAAAAGCTAGCCTGATTCTTTTCCGAGTCCAGTGGTCTTTTGTTATTCAAATGATTCTGATAAAAAACACCAGTATCAAAACAGATGTCTTTACTTAAAATGTAAACAAATTGTGATGGCTTTATAGAAAATATTTCATGTATGTTGATGAGTGATCCTGATTTGACAACCGGGGAAATGTTTTTTTATATCTATTTCATTTAACGGCAGTTATCGTTTTTTTTTCAATTCGATTATGAAACACATTGTGCCCAGACACCTTTGAAGGCGTATTTCGGTAGCATTCGTGACCAGCTCGCGTTATTCTGGGACACGGAAAGGGGCGAGTGGTGACGAATGATTTCGGTACGAAGAGTTGCATTCCGTGAGCTTGCCACAAACCTGTGATCACGGGTATCATTCGACGATTCGTACTGATTATGTTTCTAGGCTTGTCCGAGCCCTACCTATGCTTGTGGGCTTCATAAAGTGGTTAAATCTAAGGCCTGCACCATTTCAGGCTTTCCTCCAAAATGACAGAAATAACAATACTGACTCATAATGTCACGGTTTAAGACAAGACAAACGAGAGATTGGTAAATGTGGAAAATATTCCCCATAATGTTTGTGCAATCTTTATAGTCATTGTAAATAATATGTACATGATGAATAATAGCATATTACAAACACAACATATAATCAATATGAGGAAAGTCTGAAGTGATACAGATCATGCCACTTTGCCGAAACCTACAAGACACATAATGAGGGCGAACTGAGATTCGAAGTTTTAACCCATGACCCTAGGTTTCTGGAGGGGCCATGTTGTTTGTCAGCAACATGCCTTTCGTATTGCGCCAGTGGCAAACGTGCATTACTTCAGATTTACCTCCTACACCAAACTGTGTTCACGGCCAATCTGACTGAAAAGTAAGGTTCCAAGCGGTGTTAGAGCCAAATCACTTGCTGATACGTACCAGTAACACCAGCCCCTCCTTTTCAGCTTGGTTGTGTGTTCTGCTGCGATAACTACCACTCAACCAATATCACTTTATCATAGTCGTGCTTCTCTGAAGAGATCTTGAGCTCATTTGTGAAAAGCAGGGTGATTGATAAGCAAAGCTGATTTTTGATACATTGTTTTAGATGGACAATATTCGTTATCACATGAGGAACCCATCCGCGGTGTAGTGGTTAGAGCTTCCGCCCGGAGAGCGGAAGGTCGCGGGTTCGATCCCCGACCGCGTCATACCAAAAGACGTTAACATATGGTACTTGTTGGTCCCTGCCTGGCGCTCGGCATTAATGGGTACAACAAGGACTGGTCTGCTCGGAGTCAGTATAATGTGTCTGAGTGGGGTATTCATGCTTCACTGCGGCATGCACGTCATCATATGAGCGAAATATTCTCAAGCACAACGTTAAACCCAATTTCACGTCACCCGACCTCGTTATCACATGACTTCAATGATGAAAGATATTGATGACAATTTGGTTGTTTTATAGAGGCCCCTATGTCAATATTCCACAGAGAGAAGGTGAAGGAGTGAAGCAAATACAGTTACAAATTCAGATCGGGGATAGTAATGAACGATAATTACCCAGTTTGCACAGAGCGTTATTCTATTACGTGACACACATTATGCCAAAGCGGCCATCACAGCTTTCTGGATAAATTACTACTTGGTTGCCTCCCTTGTTCCACCATGTGTGGTACACTGGTCCCAGTCAGGCCAGAACGTTTCCTTCATACGTTCACAGTAGGCGGCCAGGTTAGGGTATTTGTCTACGGAAAAGCAAACGTTCATAAACGACAAGTATTTAACAACAATTGATGTCATTAATTCATATGACAGCTAACTCGTTTGAATTTTAGCTAAATTTAGTAAATTAAGTTGAAGACGGAAAGTGATAAATTTATATAGTAATATCTCATAGTCGAAATAGAAGGAGATGTTCAAATCTTTATGTAATGAGATGTAGGTTGGTACATACATTTTGTTGCGAATAGTTTTCAAGACCTCTTTGGCAACGTTGGCAGTTGTAATGAGAACAAGGAAGGAGCACATTATGTATCTTATGTTAACAGTTTTCTGCGATGTTTTCAAGTCAGTACATGGAATGTACATTAATGAATGAGTGAGTGAGTGAGTGAGTTTAGTTTTAACTCAGCAATATCCCAGCTATATGGCGGCGGTCTGTAAATAATCGGGTCTGGACCAGACAATCCAGTGATCAACAGCATGAGCATCGATCTGCGCAATTGGGAACCGATGACATGTGTCAACCAAGTCAGCGAGCCTGACCACCCGATCCCGTTAGTCGCCTCTTACGACAAGCATAGTCGCCTTGTATGGCAAGCACATGGGTTGCTGAAGAGCTATTCTACCCCGGATCTTCACGGGTCTGTACTTTAATGTATGCATTGACAGGATATTATCTATATAACACAATGTACACCTATCAGAAGAGACTTTGATTTGGTTGTTGATATGGCACACGGCCTGGTTCAAGCAAGAAAGAAATTAGCAAATGCTGAGACCAATGAGAGCACAGAAGATATCGTAAGAACGGCAATATTTCACGTGCAACATGTTTAATGGTAGGATTCGCATGTAGTTGTTGCATGGAGCAAGGCTCATTAGACACTTTTTTATTTAACTCCATTTAAAGCGATGACCTTTCGCTTTTGATTTTGTAACTGTAACTGATTCTGTACCAGGAATTTACTGTTCATTCTGACCAAACATTTCAAACAAGTGAAACTGACTATACTTTTGGCAATTTCCGAGAAACTATGCATTAACCATGTCATTGTATACATCAAATAATAGTTCAATTTCCTAAAGTACAATTAACTTCTGAAATTAAATTATTCTTCTGATTTCTCCATTACACGAACATTCATCACCACACCCAAAGTAGGTCATATACATTCAACGTAGATGGATGAGGTAACTAAAGATACTTGCCCTTGAGGATGTTGTGGTGTCCAGTGCCTATGAAGTGCCAGTAAACCTGTGACAGCTGACCGAACACCACGCAGTCCGTCTCGCAGGGCTCGTCCCCCATCAGGAACCTCTTGGTCCCTGGAGCATGTGTGGACACATGAGTACATTGAAACAAAACAAATCACGTGACAGGTACACGATTTCATTAATTTCGGGATGCAGTTTCTTCCTGTTCTATGCTTATAAGGGCCCGCAGATACGTGATTGTCTTAAAGGCACACTGTGAAAAAGTCTCTACAATATTTTGGCCTATATTACATATTGGGGCATATGCACTCACTTTAGCTTCCTATTGAGGCAACAAAAGACTTATTATCCCTTACCACTTGCCTGAGGAAAATAATTGAAACTTCGAGGCGAACAACACAGAGAACACTTGCCATATATGGAATGCAAAGAATTACTCCGTACATCGAAAACTGTCGCATGCGGTGTTGTTGGTGTTTGCCGAACTGGTTTTAATCTCAGGTTGTGCGTAGGATATTCATAAAGAGCGCTCCAAGGGACATAACTCTATGGGGTTCGTTTGAAATAATGTTCGGCCGGCAGAAGGCGCGACAGTCGGTTTAATGCAACGTTGCATTAGTTCATTCGAATATTGCAGTCTAAACGCCTAATTCTTCTTTGGATAATTTATATGTGTGTCATGGAACATCCTGCAATGTTTGCCACTACAGTTATGACACAATCTACCACTTTGCATTCTTTGTATTTTCATCCGGATGAAAACTGTATGATACACATCTATTTTCATAATATTACATATTGAATGTGAGGATTCGTTGTACTAAGTGTCAGGTTTATTATTTTGTCCAGACAAATTGCTCCTAACATCTATGTAAATAATCCTTAGGACTTCTGCATACCTATGAAGTCTGACAGGGATTGTAGATCCTTCTTAAACATTTCAGCAACCTCCTCTTCTGTGTGTCGACCCAAGCCTTGATTCCATGCTTGCTTTTTAAGGACTCGTTGAAACATCAGAAATGTAAACTTCGATAATTTAAAGGCATTCATTACCAAAGATTTGTCGTTGTCAAATTGCCATCGGAAGAGGCCAACGAACCTGAAACCACAGCACTATTCGTTCACTATTCCTACACATATATGCGAGTAAAATACAACGGGGATTGCTAGCAGCTTATCTTAGAGACGGTGATGTGAGGTGAACTCTTTCGTCCCCTAAAGCAGAATAGAAGTTACAAACCATGCTATGTCTTTTCGAATGACACGGTCAGAGGATTGAACCACCGATCTTCCACTCTCCAGATAGATGCTGCTTCGTATTCATGACTTCAGTGGTTCTAATGAAATCTAGGGTTGTCAGGCCCGCTAAATAGGTGGATGCATGTCATGATCATCGTATCATCGTAGATGCTCATAATGACAATCGGTGGACTGACTGGTCCTGATACGATTATTTTGCAGATCGCCGTCATATATCTGGATTATTGTTCAACAAACTCATCGATCTTGAAGCACAGGCAAACTGTAGCGCAAATAGGGCTGCGCAACAGAGAGACAAATAACCAGTATTTCTATATGCGAGCGAAGCGAGCAAAGGTTGGCAACGCACTTCCCTCGCTTTGGTTCTAAAAATATTTTTAATATCAAAATAAAAATATCTTCACCATCAAAGGTAGACACCCATTTCCTATCAGGGTTGTGCTCTCAGATTTCCAACCTCATTTTTAATAATTACTCACGTACAATATGTTTAATTCAACATTTTAAGCGCCACTCGTGGCATGTCATATCGTTCTTCGTCTCCATTACTCCAGCCGGGGTGAAGGAACAAGAAGACGCAGAAATATAATATTTATTATTTTACCATTAGACTTTTGGAGATTAAATTTCTTACCCGCCTTCGTTATTGTTAGAATTTTCGTAACATTTATTCTACAAAAAACACTTCTGGCGTAGTGGGCGAATGAAGCAAGGGAGGTAACTCCGCAAGTATGTGGGCGCAAATACGCCTCTGATTGGCCCACGCCGCCCTAAAACTATAAAACCAACCAACCATATGGTGGATATGTGATTCAACGAGTTTATTTAGATTTAAGTCCCCCGTTCCTTCACTCCGTTAAACCGGAAGCTGGCGGGGGTAATGGAGGCGAAGTAAGATTTGATATGCCACGAGTGGACTTAAAAGTGTTGAATTAAATATATTATACACGAGTAATTATTAATTATAAGGTGTGAAATCTGAGAGCACAACCCTGTTAGGAAATGAGTGTCTACCTTTGATGGTGGCGATATTTTATTTTGATATGAAAAATAGTTTTCGAACCAAAGCGAGGGAAGCACACTGCCAACCTTTGCTCGCTTCGCTCGCATATACGAAGACTGGTCATTTTCTCTTTGTTGCGCAACCCTATTTGAGCTACAGTTTGCCTGTGCTTGAAGACAGCTGAGATAGGAGTATACAAAATATCAATGTGTTTGGCGTTATGGTTACGATGGACAGACAGATAGAAGTTGGCACCAATTGACTGCCCCTCACCAGTATAGATGATCCTCCACCATGGCATGCATCGCCTGAGCTACTCCTCTGTCAGTAGCACTCAGGTTCCTGTTGAGGTCCACCCCCAGCTTCTTGTTGAGGAATTTGATGCACAGCGATGAGTCCGCTACCGACTGCCCATTATACTCAATCCAAGTGAATTTGCCCTTTGATGAAGCTTCCATCCCATGGACGTTCTGTGTGGACGATCACAGACACATTGTAGTATTATTATTATACAAAACAGGAATTTAGGTGACTTCTTTGAGAGGCATTTTAGAAGTTGGATAGGTGAAGGAAAACCAAGATCTATGGATAGTCAACGTCTTTATTGCAATGGGTACGACGTTTCGGTGTAGGTACTAACACCGTTATCAAGCAAGTGAGGCCTCACTTGCTTGATAGAGGTGTTAGTACCTACACCGAAAGCTACTGCTTGATAAAGGTGTTAGTACCTACACCGAAACGTCGCACCCATTGCAATAAAGAAGTTGATTATCCATAGAACTTGGTTTTCCTTTTCCTTCAGGAGTTTAGGTGGCTTGGGATTAGAATGACTGTTTTGTGTCATAGGGATATGAATCATTGCTCAGGGGGTCAACAACCTAGACCAGATTCAGATATGTCGTGACACATCGAGAACATTGTGAACTGCGACATGAAACAACAGTGTTGTCACTCATTTACTCACACTTTCACCTACCTGGTAAGGTATCTTAGCCATCCGGAGATAGGTCTCCAACTTCAAAGCAAATGGCGTCATGCTTGGGGCATAGGGACCTCTACCGATCTGATGATGGATCACTGTATCTCGAGGATAGTCCCTCTTTGCCTTTGTCTCTCTGTAAAATATCAAAATAGGGTAGGCGAGGCGCTACTACCGGTATTAAGCTGTTTCCCGGCTCCCCTTTGACAACTTGCGATATGAGAGAGGATGTCAAGCTTACTTCCCGTACCAAATTTCCTGGTACAAACCACATAATACACTCTCCTACCAAGAGTTTTGTGCAACCAGGTAGGTCATCACTGCGCCAGAGTGTGAGCATAACATACTATTCTGGCCGCATGGTCCTCTGGGTAGGAGAATGGTGACAAGCGTATATTGAAGGACCAGTTCTAGTTCCAAATATAACTTTACGAGACCGGACCAAGTGTACAGCTATGCTTGACTGTCATAGCTGTTTATACCATGACAAATATGAAACGTTGTTAGTTACCGGAAAGGCTAAGGTCACGCGAAGTGTCGTGACCTACTTATTGGCCAAATAGATCAATGTACAGCTGATGGTTATGTTTTGGTTTCAAAGTTCTCAAATGTCGCTGACATAAACATTTAGCATATTTATATTGTAGGACATACACTGTATAATTTAGTGTTCCATGTTTTTATGGTTGGCTGGTTGGTTTGTTTGTTTGTTGCTTAACGCCGCAATATTGAAGTTATATGACGGCGAACTGTAAATAATCGAGTCTGGACCAAACAGCATGAAGGTCATCTACGCAGTTGGTATGTGTCAACCAAGTCAGCGAGCTTGATCCTATTAGTCGCCTCTTACGACAAGCATGGGTCACTGATGACCAATTCTAACCCGGATCTCCAAGGGTGTGATTTTGAGGTCGGTGTGCTGCTGCTAAATGTTTTCATTATAATGCATCACATGAATAGATCAGGCATTCCACTAACATAATTTACAGTTAAACAGTTTCTGTTTTGATTCCACCTAAACTAATGCTTGGCAAAGGTGAAAACATTCACATTTACATCTGCGTGTGCAGATTATGGAATATTTCCGCCAACGAACGTTAGTAGCTTAAAGGTCACATGCAACCAAAAAGTCAAACATAATTAAAACACAATTATCACTTATTCATGACATATAATATACATTGCTGGTTATGAAAAAACATATACAAAATTATAAGCGTACAATCGCAAATCAAAAGTGCAATATTGTGTACTTGGGTTTACTTCCCAAGAAACGAAGCAGCCGGGATACCGCACCCAGCCAAGTTTAACGGCTGGTACATTTGCAGATGCCCTCAGGGGTCATTGTGTGTGTATATATAGAGATGTTGGGTTTTGTAAATACTTGCTCATTATTTGTGTATAACATTTTGCAATCAACAGACATCATAACATGTCATGTGTTCAAGTATCACACCTGTCTGTCTGTGTAATTACATAATGTGACAGAGACCGAACTCGGTCAGGTGTCCTCCCATTACGCAGACAGCCAGTTCGCAGACACCTTAAAACAACAACATTTATGGTTCGGTGAACAGATTATCTACTACCTGTTACCTACACATTATTATGGAATAGTCCAAATAAAAGCACAGGAACAAACTGAAGCTAAATTCTTCAAAGGCATTTAGAAGTTGGTGTAGTAATACAAGACAAATCTTATGGATAACATAAATCAAGAAGTTGTTATCCATAAGATTTGTCTTGTATTAAAACTGAAGCTATATTATTTATTTTGAAAGATGGACGAAAAGACAGTAATTTGAATTTTTATTGCTGCAATATGAAAACAGTTTTTCACAAACATTTCGGTTTAACCTTCTAGTCTAACGGGAGTCGGCATCATTATATTGAAAACATTAGCTTAGCTATTAGAAATTGCGACACTGATGTATCATATAAATCAAATAAAGTAAATGTGAACCTAAATATTATTCATATGGAATAAAGAAGTTATATGTTTTGCACACAGTATTAAGATCTATGACGAGTGAACTTAATTACGATTTATTTAGAATAAATATTTAAAATATGACGCATCATGTCAATGTGGCCATGGATGTGAGAATGTTTATCATTACGTCCTTGAATGGCCATCGTATACTACTCAAAGACATAAACTGTTACAATCTTTAGAAAGTGTTGTTAAAATTAGAACACTGATTTGTATTAATCGTATCTTACATGGCAATGCAGGTGTCTCATTTACTGCAAATCAGAATGTTTATAATATGTACATATCTATATCTCTCTCACAAAACGTTTTCTCAGTTAACTTCTGTTGTACATATGCTATTATTGGGAGGGGGCTTTTCTATCACTAAACACAATCAAACCTCTCAGTGACAAACCTGTTTTCATATTCGATAGTAATTGATAGTAAAAACAATTTTGAGAGGAGAAATCATTTATCATTTAAACACAACAAAGTTCTATGTACCTACAATCAAACTTCTCAGTAACGAACCTGTTTCAGGCTCACCCTGCTCTACTCACTAAACAGTGGACTGTTCCATTATACCCGTAGGTGTTACCCTAATTAACCTTCTACTTCAGTGTCTGTCAATTGGGTGTCTGTCAAATGGGTGTCTGTCAAATGGGAGATAACCGGTCAGTGAATCGCAGTTGTGTATTGAATATTGTCATTAGCACACAGGCAGGCGGACACACAGGTGTCATTGAGTTTTGTATGTGACAACGACATATCTATATCACAGTTAGAAATTCTGTCAACGCTAAATAATGACATTACTTTTAAGTATCGAACTGAGAAAGTGACTCGGTAAGAAGAACGTGTGGTGAAATAGACAAATGCAATTATATAAACAGTTTATTTACTGTCATAACATATAAAACGCTCGCGCCTGTGAGATATTAACAAAACATTTGGGAAAATAGCTCACACCAAAGCCTTCACCGAGTATTCACCGGACAGCCCGCTTCCAAGTTGCGCGAATCTATTTCACTGCGCACGTGCTATGAGCGCAGCCCAGCCTTTGAAACCCGTTTTCCCCAGAAATTTTCGGGGGAATTGGTGAATCGTTCGAACTCCGATTTCGCGCGTTTTTTTTCATCGGGTTATTTTTCAACTTTATAAGTTGAATTTGCCTTTTTGATGATTTGTTTCGCTAAGTCCAAACCGAAAGTTATCAGAATCTGCAAAGTTGTGTTTTACGTTGCATGTGACCTTTAAGGACTGAAATTACTGATTGATATACGGAATGCAGTCTGATACCATTAACCATAGCAAAGAAATCTCTTAAAAAGACAAGGACATTTCATGAAATAAAACAGTCCCATTCTTGCACCATCCTATTTCATGACTTCTCTAGTTTGTAATTTGATTGCAGGAGTGATTTAGGCTTAACGCCGATTTCAACAACATTGCACGTAAATAAAGGCGTTTCAGCTCTTAGTGGGAGGAAACACAGAAATGTTGATCTCAGACATGCAACATTTCTGTGACACTTCGAGCACGGCTATAGTGCTCACAAACCTGGCAAGGGCGCACCTGTATTCGAGCCCACGTTCATCGGTTTCAGTGTACGACACTCTGTACGGTACGACACTCTGTACGGTACGACGCACTGCAGAACGAATCGAGGCGCCTCAGACAACTGAATCTAGCCACATACTGAGTCTCTCTTTATTAGATATTCACACGTGATAACTCACTTGAAACATAGTTTTCTCAGGCCAACGACCGTTACGATGGCTACGACAGCACCTCCCATTACATACAGTACTTTCTGTGATGTGTCCATGTGGGTGAAGGTATCCATGATACTCTCCATAGTTTGCTCTGTGTGTCACTGTGCATTTCGCTGTGTTGCACAATCTGTCCTCAATAACATTCACTACGAGTGTTGAGGACTTTGGACTGTCGGCTGGTTGTCAGAGGCTTGTTTAAGCTTCTGGTCAGATATATAGTTCTGAATCTCCAATCTCACTGTGGCTCCTTTTCAATTAAAATAGAATTATTTGTTTCTGTCAAAGTGGTATATATTCTGAAATACAGCGTAATGTAGGTCAGATATGGTTAAATGTCGTTACAGGATTATTACCTGAGTTTATATTACTATTCTCCTGTTTGGTTGCCATATTCGGGATATATTCGCTCTTCTGTCTTCAGTTTTGTTGACTGTAGTCTGGCGCGCCCAGATTGAAAGGAATTCCTGATGTTTGAATGTTTTAAATATGTTTTAAATATATCAGTTATTCAATTTCTGATACTTTACGTTTAAATACAGATAACATGCAAAAGTAGGTTTTTGTTGTTTGGGAGGAGGGGGGTGGGTGGGTGTGGGTGTGTGTGTCCAGACAGCGAGGCTTTATGCATACACATATATTATACAGGAACCAACAGATGTTTCTTAAAAATACATTAGTAAATGTCAATACCAATTCCCCCATTACAAAAGTAATTTTACCGATATCTTGAATGGGTGATTTTATTCCAAAACTCATAACTCATTTTGAGATATATCGAGTCCGGTCTGACATCAGAAGTAAAAACAAAGCCAACACATATTCCGTTACCGTTTGCCGCCGTTTGGAAAACAGAAGAAGTTACGGACATACACTCCTCAAAAAGAGATACGCACAGACGTTTTCAGCTTTTTGTTTGGATATATTCTGACAGAAATCGTCATTGAGACAATTCCTATGTTTGAATCCCGTTCATCATGTCGTGGTTGTTGTGTACTGCGCGCAAACGGACCCCAAATATGTGTTTGTAAACGTTTGTTATAAGGAATGAAAACGATACCTGAAACGATACCAAATTCATCTCGCACCAATACTATCAGGATTTAATCGATCTCGGAAACAGAAGTACAGAATGGGTTGTACGCTTGCCACGAGTGGTGGATGTCATCAACAACGAAGTCGCCAGACTCGTCGGCAAAAGACCTGTCGAAGCCATCAATATGAAACATTACCGGACCGTGTCAGCGTTTGGTACTTATACCAGCCGGGCGAATACGAGGGAGACAGCAGAAAACGCTGCACCGATCCGATATGGTCCCTGAAAACGTACAACATCGACCTGGACAACATCAAAGACGGCGAACCGAACTTGTACTACTTGAAAGACGGGCCGCCAGAGTGTGATGATAGTTTCTCGTCATGAGTTTTATTAGTCTTGCATGCCTATTTTCTGCTTAATGTAGCCAGCCAGCCACCCGTACACCGAGCCGAGAGAGACACACGCACCTGAGTTTATATTACTATTCTCCTGTTTGGTTGCCATATTCGGGATATATTCGCTCTTCTGTCTTCAGTTTTGTTGACTGTAGTCTGGCGCGCCCAGATTGAAAGGAATTCCTGATGTTTGAATGTTTTAAATATGTTTTAAATATATCAGTTATTCAATTTCTGATACTTTACGTTTAAATACAGATAACATACAAAAGTAGGTTTTTTGTTGTTTGGGAGGAGGGGTGTCCAGACAGCGAGGCTTTATGCATACACATATATTATACAGGAACCAACAGACGTTTCTTAAAAATACATTAGTAAATGGCCACACGCACACGCGCACGCACTGCGACTCGTCCGCCCACAGCGCTCGGAGGAGCAACCACCCCCTAGGCGACCCGAGCCTTTTTCCCGACCGACCCCATGCTCACTTAAAAGTCAATATTTCAGAAACTATTTGACCGAGTTTCATCAAATTTTGCTTGCACCTCAGTAGTAGTATACACAATGGTGGAACGGGATTAGGGACTTATCCAAAGCTTAATTGAAAAATTAAACCTTGGATGATGGATCACCATATCTCGAGGATAGATTTTCACCCTTGTCTCTCTGTAAATATCGTAATAGATCAATGTACAGCTGATAGTTGTGTTTTGGTTACAAAGTTCTTAAATATATACATTAAGCATATTTCTATAGTCATTATACGACATGCAGGGTATAATTTGGTGTTCCGTGGTCGGTGTGCTACTACTAAAGCATAATTCAACACCATAATTGATCATGCATTCCAGTTAAATGATTTACATAGAAACAGTTTGTATTTTTAGCCAACTATTTTGACTTTGAGTCTTTGAGCACCATGCAATAAAGAGAAAGAGATTCGTGATAACAATGTTGATGATGTTGTGAATACAAGAGCTATTTAAACATGAATATTTACATATCTCGGTGAGGCAGTGAGTGTTTATGCTTTTACACTGTTTTCATCAACATTCCAACACAGTAGGGGACACCAGAAAATGGCTTCATGCATTGTACCCATGTGGGAATCCCATCCAGGTTTTCTACCTGACGAACAAATGCTTTAACCGCTGGGTTTTACATGAGATTATCATATATAAACAAGTCTATCATAAATACCTTGTCCTTAATGATCAAGACCGCCTCCGTGGTGTGAAGTGGCGGTTCAGGACGTTGCTCATAACATCAATCACTAGTATGTGATTCACTAGTTTGAGTGTTCATGGTTAATGCGTATGTCGTTTAACAGCAAGCACATAAAAACTCCATAACTGGTTTTCAACAAGCAGGGTAGCACAACGAAGAACTGATAACATTATGGTAAAATTTATTGTAAAAGAAGCTATTCGCATTTCAAACACACAACATGTACATGAAAATGAAAGTAATGAATCAGTATGTTTATGGCCGCTTATGGCAATATCGAGTTTTTATAGTGAGGGGCACAAGAATGTCCAAATTATATTCATGCCCCTTCTTCTACGCCCCCACCCACCCCCCACCCTTTCAGTCACTCTCTCACCGACCATGGCAAATTAACAAGCAAACGAAACAAAACAAAACACAAACAAACATGAAATATAATAAAACACAAAGAAACAAACATAAAATACATACTCATTGTAGATTCCAACAAGCAGCAACAGAACCACTAAGAACTAAGAACATAACACTACATTTTATATTTCAAACAAAGCTGTTCGACCCCCCTTCAGTCAACCTCTCCTTTAGCGACCAAAACATACACACACACTAAAAAAAAGAAGAGAAAAAATAGCAACAGCAACCCAAACTCTCACTGGTGCACAAAAGAGAATATGAATTCATTTAACAACCTAAGCATATCAACAAACATTGCGAGTATGCTGAGCTACTAATTCCGTTCGAGGATAGTAATGAATGATTATTACCCAGTTTCCAAAGAGCTTTATTTTATTACGAAGCACACATTAAACGGCCATCACAGTTTTCTGGATAAATTACTTTGTTGCCTCCCTTGTTCCACCGTGTGTGATGCACTGGTCCCAGTCAGGCCAGAATGTTTCCTTCATACGTTCACAGTAGGCGGCCAGGTTGGGGTATTTGTCTACGAAAAAAAGGGAGAGATCATAAGCAACACGTATTAACAACAAATGATAACATTAATTCATATGTAAACTAGATCATTTGAATTTAAGCTAAATTCTGGGAGACTGGGATGTTAAACGCTCAATGTAATGAAAGGTAGGTTGGTAAATACATTTTGTTGCGATTGTTTTTATTATCAGTGAAGTCGAATCAGCCTGAAATCGAAAACTTCAATCCAATGGAAAGACATACACATCATCTCTCATCCAGGTAATGATATGATGACAGCTGTAACAAGTTAGGATAAATCTTTGTTATGTCGATTTTGTTGATGTTCACTTTTATGCATGCATAAGATGACAGATATGCTTCAATGTAGGAGACTGGGTTAAAGTATGGTTTAAAGGCCTTTTCGACCAAAAATTTGTAAATGCAGTTGTTATGTGAAAAACGTAGGAGTACATTATGTACCCTATGTTAACAGTTTTCTGCGATGTTTTGAGCTCGGTACAGGGTATTACTTTAATGTATGCATTGAAAGAATCTTACATATATATAACACAATGTTCACCTATCAACAGAGACTTTGATTTGGTTCCTAATATTGGACATGACCTGGTCCAAGCAAGAAATAAATAAGCAAATGCTCAGACTAATGAGAGCTCAGATTATATCGCAAAAACGGCATATTTCAACATGTTTAATGGCTTGGTTGCTCATTTGTTATTCATGTTGCATGCACAATGGTAGGATTCACTGGTCATTCTGACCAAACATTTTAAACAAGTGAAACTGACTAAACTATTTGTAATAGCAGAGAAAATATGCATTAACCATATCATGGTTTACATCAGATAATAGTTCAAATCAGTATTCTTTAAGATTAACTTCCGAAATCAAAATATTCTTCTAATTTCTTCATTGCATGAACATACATCACCACACCCCAAAGTAGGTAATTTGCACTCAAGGTAGATGGATGAGATAACTAAAGGTACTTGCCCTTGAGGATGTTCTCGTATCCAGTGCCCGTGAACTGCCAGTAAACCTGTGACAGCATACCGAACACTGTGCAGTCCGTCTCACAGGGCTCGTCCCCCATCAGGAACTTCTTGGTCCCTGGAACAACCAGCATGTGTGGACAGATGAGTACATTGAAACACATCAAATCACATGACAGGTACAAGACAATAATCAATTTCACGATGCAATTCCATCCTGTTCAATGGTTTACAATGGGTTCGCAGATATACGAGGTTAAGCAAGACGAAGTGGAACAGGATTGTCTCAAGTGAAAGCGTACCTTTGGAAGCGTACAGATGTTGCACAGGAAGGGGTAACATCACTGTCAGTGATGTTGCCGTGAGTGTGATCGATGTGAAGGTTGCATCATAGTGGTTTGGGAGAATTTGTGGGATGGGTGGTGGGGTTGGAGTGGGTTGGGTGTGTGTCATGGAACAGCCTGCAATGTTTTCCTTTATAGTTATGATGCAGCCACCACTTTTCATTGTCTATATTTTCATCTGGATAAAACTGTATGATACACATCTATTTCCACAACATTGCATATTGAATGTGGGATTCGATGTACTAAGTGTCAGGTTTATTAATTTGTCCACCAAAAGTTACCATTGCTCCAAAAAAAATATTTGACCGCCTCCGTGGCGAAGTGGTTAGAGCGTCGGCTTGGAGAGCGGAAGGTCGCGGGTTCGATCCCCGACCGCGTTATACCAAAATACGTTAAAATATGGTACTTGTTGGTCCCTGCCTGGTGCTCGGCGTTAATGGGTACAGCAAGGACTGGTCGGCTCGGAGTCAGTATAATGTGTCTGAGTGGGGTATTCATGCTTCACTACGGCATGATATCTCAGTGGGCTAGCACTATAAAACCAGCTTAAGTCTGGGCTAGTACAAGCAGCCGCACATACACATACACGGCATGCACGTCGTCATATGAGCGAAATATTCTCAAGCACGACGTTAAACCCAATTTCAGCTCACCTCACCTAAAAAATATTTAAGATGTATGTATACAGATACCTTAAGACTTCTGCATACCTATGAAGTCTGACATGGATTGTAGATCCTTCTTTAACATTTCAGTTCCCTCCTCTTCTGTGTGTCGGCCCAAGCCTTGATCCCATGCTTGCTTTTTTAAGAAGTCGTTGAAACATCCAAAACAGAAACTTCGATAATTTGAAGGCATTCATTACCAAAGATCTGTCGCTGTCATATTGCCATCGGAAGAGGGCAACGAACCTGAAAATATATGCTAGTACAGTGGAAATTGCCAGCAACTTATCTTAGACGGTGATGAGAATTGAACTCGTTCGTTGTCCCTTAAAGCAGAATAGAAGTTACAATTAATGCTATGTATTAACGTCTTTTCCTATGACACGGTCAGAGGATTGAGCCACCGATCTTCCACTCTCCAGATTGATGCTGCTTCGTCCTTCATGACTTCAGTGGTTCTAATGAAATCTAAGGTTGTCAGGCTCGCTGAATAGGTGGATGCATGTCATGATCATCGTATCCAAGCCACGTAGATGCTCATTTATGACAATCACTGGATTGACTGGTCCTGGTACGATTATTTACAGTTCGCCATCACATATCTGGATTATTGCGTTAATCAACAAACTAAACAATCTTGAAGAGACCTGAGATTCAAAATATCAATGTGTTTGGCGTTATGGTTACGATGGACAGTAAGGCTAGATATTTCCCGGATTCTCATATTGTGATTTATTGCAATAATTTAAGAGATATAGCAATACATATTGTGACTGGAAGGTTTCTGCCCAAGTGCGTACATCATAAATTCATAATAGCTCTCTGTGTGCGACATCATCTTCTTAGTTGCTACTTTTAGGCTCCCCGTCCCCAGTGTGTATGGTTGTATGCCACCGGTTTACCACGGATAAATAATATGATATGGAGCCTTAATGTGGACTGTTGAATTGAACTGTTACAACAAAGTTTTGCGAACACAATGATAAAGGTAATAGCATAACATGATTTGTTGTTTGCTTCAACAGAATGCACTTCAACGCAGTATGTAATTATTGTTACTGTTTGTCAGTGATTCATTCAGATTCAGCTCCAATATAAAGATGTGTTAACATGAACTATTGCAAAATGAAACATGATTTAGATGAACTGCTTGAGCTAAAATCTCATGTGACCTCCAACAGCCTAAGATCCTTGACGAGAATGTCATTATACCGTCCTACAAAATTTAGAAGACTTAGTCCTTGGTAGAACATTTGGCACATTTGGAGCCACTTATAAAGATACTTCCACATGTAAAATGTAGAAGTCAAAGGCAGATAATTCAAAGGGAGCTAACCCTGGATGACCCAATATATTGCACAATCTGAACCATATCGCGATATCCGAATCGGGAGGCACTGTACCAGTATATACCGGTTTATACCGGTTTATACCGGTTTACCGGTAATATTGCACAGTCCTGGTGGACAGGCAGATAGAAGTTAAACTGACTGCTCCTCACCAGTATATATGATCCTCCATCATGGCCTGTATTGCCTGAGCTACTCCTCTGTCAGCAGGACTCAGGTTCCTGTTGAGGTCCACCCCCAGCTTCTTGTTGAGGAATTCGATGCAGAGTGATGAGTCCGCTACTGCCTGTCCATTATACTCAATCCAAGTGAATTTGCCTTTTGATGAAAGTTGACGGCCATGGACGTTCTGTGTTGAAAATCACAGACACATTGTATTATAACATAGGATTTCCCTTGAAAAAGGTTCGGTGGGGTAGCCTTGTGGTTACGCCAAAGACCCGGGTTCGATTCCCAACATGGGTACAATGTGTGAAGCCCATTTCTGGTGTCCCCCGCCGTGATATTGCTGGAATATTGCTACAAACGGCGTAAAACCATACTCACTCACTCCATTGAAGAAAACAGGGAATTGGGTGGCTTAGGATTAGAATAACTGTTTTATTGATGAAATGATAATCGTTGCTCAGGTAGTCAACAGCCTGCTTTCCTTGACCACATTCCAATACGTCATGGCACAACGAGAATATTGCTAACTGCGACATGAACCACACTCATTCACCCACTCTCTCACCTACCTGGTAGGGTATCTTAGCCATCCGGAGATAGGTCTCCAACTTCAAAGCAAATGGCGTCATGCTTGGGGCATAGGGACCTCTACCAATCTGATGATGGATCACCGTATCTCGAGGATAGTCCTTCTTTGCCTTTGTCTCTCTATAAAATATCATAAAAGATCAATCTACAGCTAATTGTTGTGTTTTGGTTTCAAAGTTCTCAAATATCGCTGACATAAACTTTAAGTATATTTATAGTCATTTTTTGACACACACACTGTACAATTTAGTGTTCCATGGTCTTATGGTCGGTGTGCAGCTACTAAATGTTTTCAGTACAATACATCACTTGAATTGATCATGCATTCCAGCAAAACAGTTTCCGTTTAGATTCCATCTAAACTAGTGCTTGGCAAAGGTGAAAACATTCATATTTACATCTAAATTACATCTAAGTTAATACCTAAATAGACAGGAACATTTCATGAAACAAAAATCATCCCATTTTCATGACTTCTCCAGCTTGTAGTTTGATTGCAGTGATTTAGGCTTAACGCCAATTTCAACAGCATTGCATGTAAATAAAGGTGTGTCAGTTTTATGTTTGGGAAAAAGGAGACATGGAGATTTCAGACATGTAACATTTCGGCGATACCTTCGAGCACGGGGAATGTGCTCACAGGCATAGCAAGGGCTCACCTATATTCGAGCCCACGTTCATCGATTTCAGTGGATGGCGCCTTGCACGAGGCTATACAGAACGAATCGAGGCGCCTCAGACAACTGGATCTAGCCAAATACTGACTGAGTCTCTCTTTATAAGATATTCACACGTGATAACTCACTTGAAACATTGTTTCCTCAGGCCAACGACCGTTACGATGGCTACGACAGCACCTCCCACTACATACAGAACTTTCTGTGATGTGTCCATGTCGTTGAAAGTATTCATGATACTCTCCATAGTCTCCTCTGTGTGTCACTGTGCACTTCGCTGTGTTGCACAATCCGTCCTCAATCACACCCACTGCGATTATCAGCAATTCAAGGTCATGTTGAAAAGGGGAATAAATGTTGAGGGCCTTGGGCTGTCGGCTGGATCGGGTTGGTTGTCAGTAGCTCTCGCCCATTTTTTAGTTGTCTGGTGTAAGATATAGTCTTCTCAGTGGACCTTATTTTCCTTTCCTTCAATTTGAAAGGGTCATATGTTCAGAATCTCCAATCTAACTGTGGCTCCTTTTTAGTTGAATTATCAAAATGATATATATTCAAAGATAAAGCGTTAATGTAGGTCTGACGTCTTGTCCCAGTGTGTTGACTGCATTCGAACGGATCTGCAGGGATCTGTTGAAGAATATCAATGAAAAGAGTTGCTGATATCTGAAATGTATTTAATTATATTAGAACACGATATGAAGACACAGACAAATTAATGTTTTTAATATATCAGTAATTCAAATTCTGACACCTTGCGTCTAAATACATACAACACACAAAAAAGTAATTTTACTGATATCAGGAATAGGTGATTTTATTCCAAAAGGCGAAAAGTGATTTAGGGCCCGTGAGTAAGTCACGGCACTTCTCGAGACCTTAGTACTTCTGGTGACAAACAACGTTTCATGCCTTTTCGAATGGTCTCATGACTGTCAGTTGACAGTATACTATGAACCGATGATCCTTGCAGGAATAACAAATTTCCGACCTAACCATCCCCAAATTAGCTATTACGATATGTCAACATAATCAGCTAAAACTATTACGACTGTCAACCGCTGTGACACTATTAAAGTCATATTGGGCGGTCGTGGAATTTAGGACCAGAACTGGTTCTTGAATATACGTTTGTCACCGGAAATCTGGTACCGGAAGTAAGCTTGGCACCGTCTCGCATATCGCCTCGCGAGACTTACAGGCCCTATTTCTGCATTAAAGAAGTATGTATATAGTGAGGAAGAGAGTCAATGCTTCTTTCACCTTTACAACAGCGATATCAGAAAGGGACTTCTACCATTGCACCATGTTCAAAATCGAACAGCGTTCTTGGTGTGACGATCCAACGCATTACCCACATTTCTTCCCTCGTCCCATTTACACTCATATGAATAGACATTTTCAGAGTGAATCTGATTTGCATATGTGATACTAGGTTATGGTATTAACAAAAGGGCACAAGTGGTCATGACATTTAATGGGCAACAATTCGCTGTGCAGAGTTGAATCCTTGTCATCGAAGATCCAAATTCCACAATTGCCGAGCTTGTTTCTAGGTTCGACAGCTCGGGAACAGCGCAGGTATCGTGGTTTCCAGCAAATTATATTGGTCGTGAGCCCACAAAATTGAGAAGGTTGGTCGAGGTCAGGTATTTGCTTGAGAACGTGTCAACGTGTCCCTGCGGCATGGATCGTTGCTCATTATACCAATCACTCGACGGGCAAGTTCAGATTCATATCTTTTTGTGCCGCGTTAACAGAGCTGAATAACACACAAGCTCACAGTGGCTTATCAGAGAGTGAATATTTGGTGTTATTCAGGTTGGTGTGATTACACATGTACAGCCGGTTTATTCAGTTGCAGGTTCACAGTTCAAAAGGTAGAACGAGTACCCAAGGTCGAATTCCAGGTCGTGAAAAGAAAGCGACAAAAGCAGTAGCAGTAGCAGTGTTATCGCCATTGCCGAAAAACGTTGTTTGTCACCGTGACCTACAAACGGATCCTGTGATCATGAGTTTCGTTCGACGAGTCGTACTGATTATATTTCTGGGTTTCTCATACCCAGGCTTGTGGGGTTTGTGCAATCTTTTTAGTCATTGTAAAATATCTGTATGAATATTATTTAAGAAAAAACAATAACATACTATCAACATATATTAGGAGGATCGTAAATGAGGGTTCTAGGTATTTGCCACTATGCTGAAACCTATAAGAACAGGTTGTGTACTCAACAACTAGGACCTGGGATTCGAACCCACGATCCTAGGTTTCTGGAGGGGCCATGTTGTTTGTCAGGCACACGACGGTGTAGCTTTTCTTTAATGCTTGGTTTGTGTGACACCGTTAATCTTTGACCAGGCCACGCACATTTGGATAAACGTATCCACGGGATCAACATGAATTGATATTAAAGATAACGAACAGCTGGAAGAGTGTTTCATGTTTCCTGCTATATTCCGCTACGAATATAACAACGACAAAACCTTTACCAAGCAAACGTTGAACTCCTTGTTGCTTTCACACCGATCATATCTGTGATTGCTTCTGCCTCACTCCCAAAGAACATCGGTATTAGCTTGCGAACTCGTTTGATAACCTTTGATGTTATGCCAATTTTAATGCAAATAGATATTAATAACATGATGTGTGATGTTTTCCTTAATAAGTGTAAAAACAGTTGACAGGATAATATCGGAATCTGATTAACTTGACACTAGGCGTCGTAGCACGCCCTTGAAGAGATGTGGTGTCAAAAGTCAGTTCACAAATACAGTATGGTGTGTGTCCACCATTGGCGCTGATGCAGACTTGACAACGACGACTCAGACGACACACAGCGATTGAAGAAAACTTGTTGTTCCATGTCTGAACCAACTCTTGACCCAATTCAATGGCTGAGTCTAGGCTTAACGTCGCCCCAATCATCCCAATACTCGATGGGGGACAGGTCCGGAGAAACAGCTGACCAGGGGAGTACCGGAACGGTCTGCTGCCTCAGGAAATCTGTCACAACACGAGCGACATATGGACGGGCATTATCTTGGTGAAGCGTGAAGTTATGTCTCTGTCCTTGAATAAACGGCCGCACATAGGCCCAATGATCTTATTCCTGTATCGAAGACCCGTCAGATTTCTGTTGACAATGACAAGTTATGTCCGACCATGAGATGTGATGCTTCACTATACCATAGCGCTCCGCCACTAAACTGTCAACGTTGAACAACGCACACGTCAGCATACCGTTCACCTCGCCGTCTGTAGACCCTTGTCCTTCTATCTGAGCTGTACAGATTAAATCTCGACCCGTCAGTGAACAAACCCCATCCCAATCTTGTCTCCTGTACCGTGGGTGCTGTCTGCACCAAGCAAGACCTGCCGTCGGTGACGTTGAACGTATTGCAGGCCGCCGGGGCCGGATGTTGTGCTTCCTCACTCGGTTCCGTACAGTCCTGGAACTGACTGGACGTAAGCCAGGAATGGTCCGAGCAGCCAAGCTGGCAGTCTGGAATCGAATCCTTAGATGGGTCAGCCAACGTGACGTCACGTCTGGGCGGCCGGTCCGAGGCAAATCCATCATGTGCCCATTATGTTGACAGAGATGATGCGGTCGTGTTTCGGTGGACACCATAATGTCTGGCCATTTGGGCCATTCCAGTCTCCTGCATACCCCCGGCACAGAGACGTTGATTTTTTTAAAACTGTGACATGACGTACGCTCAGTTTAAGTTGAAGTTAACGTGTTTCCACAACATTCAGAGGCAAGAGAATAATCAACCGTTCTTCAATTATCAATATCAGGTGTGTGAATTTCAAGTGTAAAATCACATGCAAAAAGTGAGTAAGTACATCATGCAAAAGGCACAAGTGTCACGCGGGATACGTGACATCAAATTTCATGCAAAGGTCTGTGTTACATGTTTATTTAATTATTTATTTATTTATTTTGATGCAATGTTTTTGTTATGCACAGTTACTTTTTCCTGTTAGTATATAACAATAGACATTGCAAGTATAGGGACAAATTCAGTTTAGGGATAGTAATGAGCGATAATTACCCAGTTTGTGCAGAGGTTATTTTATTACGAAACATATATTATGCCAAAACGGCCATTACAGCTCTCAGGGAAAGTTACTACTTGGCTGCCTCCCTTGTTCCACCATGTGTGATGCACTGGTCCCAGTCAGGCCAGAATGCTTCCTTCATACGTTCACAGTAGGCGGCCAGGTTTGGGTATTTGTCTACGGAAAAAGAGTAACGTCATAAGCAACAAGTATCTCACAGCAAATGATAACATTAATTCATGTGTCTACTAAATCATGTGAATTTGAGTTGAATTTAGTAAATATAGTTTAGAACTGAAACTGAAAATAATGTCACAACTCAATTTGTCAAACTCGATTCTGTTCATGTTCACTTTTAGGCATGCATAGCATGACAGCTATACTTCGTTATTGGAGACTGGTATGGCTAAAAGATAATACTCTTGAAAATACAGTTGTGGTGAGAAAAAGGTAGATGTACATTACGTACCCTATGTTAACAGTATTCTGCAATGTTTTCATTTTGGTATATGGTAATTAAGTTCTTTAATGTATGCATTGACAAAATCTTACCTTCATATGTATTCAAGATTTAAACAAGTACAACTGACGCTACTATTGGCATCTATTGAAACTATGAATTAACCATGTTATTGTTTCCGTCAGGAAACGGTCCCAATCTGTATTTCTAAAGTAGAATTAACTTCCATAAACAAAGTATTCTCCTGATTTATCCATTACATGAAAACACATCACACACCCCAAAGAGGCCAGATTTATTCAGGGGAGATAGAGAAACGGAACGTTTTCAAATGATGAGGCAGCTAAAAGTACTTGCCCTTGAGGATGTTCTCGTGCCCAGTGCCCGTGAAATGCCAGTAAATCTGTGAAAGCTGACCGAACACCGCACAGTCCGTCTCACAGGGCTTGTCCCCCATCAGGAACTTCTTGGTCCCTGGAACATCCAGCATACGTGGACAGATGAGTATATTGAAACAAAACAAATTACATGAAACAAAGTATCATCGCTCCTGAAATATAGTTAGCACTTATGTATATTATGCAGTTTACAATGACTTCTGCATACCTATGAAGTCCGACAGGGATTGTAGATCCTTCTTAAACATTCCTGTTCCCTCCTTTTCTGTGTGTCGGCCTAAGCCTTGACTCAATGCTTGCTTTCTAAAATGTCGTCGAATCATCCAAAAACTAAATTTGCCTACTTTGAAAATATCTATTATCCAAGACTTGTCGTTGTCATACCCCCATCGAAGGAGGAGGAGGAACCTGAAACGACAGTACTATTCAGTCAACCATTCATGCAAGTAGATGCAAGCAAAATATGACATGGAAATGGCCAGCATCTTATCGTAAAGATATGAACTGAGGTGAACGCGTTCTTGTTTATTCCCCACTAAAGCATAACCCCAGTCAAAAGCATGCTTTGTATTAATGCCGTTTGGTTTGAACTATCTGGATACACCGGAGAAAGGATTGTTCAAGATATCAATGTGTGTTGCCTCTATGGTTACGATGGACAGGCAGATAAAAGTAAAATGGCACCAACTGACCAAAAGATTTATCGTTGTCAAATTGCCACCGGAAGATGGCAACTAACCTGAAACCACAGCACTATTGATTCACTATTCCTGCAAATATATGATAGTAAATTACAATGGAGATTGCCAGCAGCTTATCTTAGAGACGGTGATGTGAGGTGAACTGGTTCGTCCACTAAAGCAGAATAGAAGTTACATGCTATGTATTAACGTCTTTTAGTATGAGGCGGTTACGCAGTTGCACACAATGGCAGTCACTAGATTGTCTGATTCTGGCACGATTATTTACATATCACCGTCATATAGCTGGAATATTGCTGAGGTCGGAGGTAAACAAAAAAAAACTATCAATTCAAGCTATCAATGTGTGTTTGCTCTATGGTTACGATGGACAGGCAGACAGAAGTTAAATGGCACCCACTGACTGTTTCTCACCAGTATAGATGATCCTCCACCATGGTCTGCATTGCCTGAGCTACTCCTCTGTCAGCAGGACTCAGGTTCCTGTTGAGATCTACACCCAGCTTCTTGTTGAGGAATTTCATACACAGGGATGAGTCCGCTACCGGCTGCCCATTATACTCAATCCAAGTGAATTTGCCCTTTGATGGACGTTCTGTGATAGAAAGGGTTTGGGCTACAGCGTACGATGAAGCTGAATCTGTGTTTTGTTCAAAAGTAATATGAATCGTTCCTAAAGTAACCACTCGTCGTGACACAACGAGAAGATTGCGAACCGGGTCATGAAACAACACTCATGTACTCACTCTCTCACCTACCTGGTAGGGTATCTTGGCCATCCGGAGATAGGTCTCCACCTTCACCGCGAATGGCGTCATACTTGGGGCATAGGGACCTCTACCAATCTGATGATGGATCACCGTATCTCGAGGATAGTCCTTCTTTGCCTTCGTGTCTCTATGAAATATCATAAAAGATCATTGTACAGCTGATGGTTGTGTTTTGATTTGAAAATCCTTGAATGTCTCTGACGTAGACTTTAAGTATAGTGATTTAGTCGTTGTATGACATACACTGTATAAAATATTATGTTTTATGGCCGGTGTGCTGCTAATAACTGTCTTCAGTATAATTCAACACCTAAACTGATCCACATCAAACGAGGCTAAAAACTTCCAAAGTTCTGATTTACGGGCCAACTAATTTTGTTCAATGTTGCTCCTCCCCGTGAAGATCCGGGTTAGAATTGATCTTCAGTTACCGCCCGCTTGTCGTAAGAGGCGACTAATGGGATCGGGTGGTCAGCCTCGCTGACTTGGTTGACGCATGTCATCAGTTCCCAATTTCGCAGATCGATGCTCATGCTGGATTGTCTGGTCCAGACTCGATTATTTACAGTTGAGAGCTATCTGAGTTAGATCGTAGTTGGCGAAGTCGAAGGGATTCCGATTATACTCTCCAGCCACGGCGAGGGATGGTACAAAACCTACGACTACCTTGTTTGGTCGGACGCCTTGAAAAATATTATCGTATGTGAAAGCCACTTGACCTCTGGGTATGGACATCATTTTCACTTCCGTGTGAGGGTAAATATATTTAGCCGTTGTCGTAGAAAGAGCGGTGTTGTGTCCGTATATGACACTGGGGTTAACCTCGACTCTCATGATGCGAAGGACGATGTCGTCTATGTGTACCGTGTATTTTTCATCTTTTATGGTGGCCATCAAGAGAAAGGTTGGAGAGGATCTGTATAGTTTCACTTGCACGTCGACTTGGTTCATGATGTAGCGTCTAAGTTGAACGAGATCGTGCATAAGGGGACCTTCCATGTCGAAGCTCTTACTCTCCAGTATTATCTTGAATCTTTCGTACATTCCATCTGTTATGCCATGTCCTTGACGAATAGTTGCGATGTCAGCTTGGACTTGGCGTCGACTTCATTTGTAGTCAGCAACGTCTTAATGATAGCCTTGTACGGATAATAATTGTTCGTGGAATTGACGAGGCGTCCCTGTAGCCACATGTCCACTTGAGAGAATAGAGAATGCAGAAAAAGATTCACCGGAGAGCATTCGTCCGTGGGCGCTAGACTGGTTCCGTCGGCCTTGGTCACGTGACATGTGACGTACAAGGATGAGCGTCTGCGATCTATGTAATCTAGACTGTACATGTTTTGTCTGCTAATGTGAAATTCGATTGGAGCTGATCCGGATTGCAAATACGTCCTTTCTACTGCTGTTTGCGTCGGGGCAGGCAAAATAGATTCAGTTCCGAGACTGCGTTTTGCTGAGTTTGTAATTACTTTGTTTGATAAACATTCCGACACTGACATTATTGACAGCAGTAGTGGGGTATTGGTCACGCTGAGAAATTTTTGAATGGAAATTCCCATGTTAAATTTTTCGATAAAAAGAGGTCCCCAAGTTCATCAGTGTTGCAGATCGATGACGCAGTGCCAGCCTTATGTGGCCGGAAAGCAAGAAATGCAGGTCACAGACATATGAAACCATCAAGCATGGGTATGATGCACCCAAACTTAGAAAAGGCGAACCGGTATTCGAACCACATTCATCGGATTCAGCAGACGAAACTCTGAACGACGCTCGGCAGGGCGAATCGAGGCAGAACTCATTCGTCACCACTCGCCCCTTTCCGTACGTAAACTCCAAGAAGAGTTGGTCACGAATGGGTGGAACTGTGTTCAGGGAAATATCAACCGAGTATCTCTTGACTAGCTATTCACACGCCTTAACTTACCTGAAACATAGTTTCCTCAGGCCGACGACCGTTACGATGGCTACAACAGTACCTCCCACAACAAACAGTACTTTCTGGGATTTGTCCAGGTCGGTGAAAGCATCCATGATACTCTCCAAAGTTTCCCCCTGTGTATGTCAATGTGCGCTTCGCTGTATTGAACACTCCGACCTGAATAACACCCACCATCGTAATTCAAGATCATGTTGAAAAGGGGCATAACTGTTAAGGGTCTTGGACTGTCAGTTGGATCGGGTTGGTTGTCATTCACTGTTGCCATTCTTCTTGTTGTGTGTAGGCAAACGTAGTCTATTTCACGGTCTCTGATTCGCATTATTTGCCTTCCCGCCTCGCCCTTTCTGCAGTGCGAAAGCGCTATATGAAGCACGTCTAAATTTCCTCTGGCTCCTTTTCAATTTGAAAGACTATTTCTTTCCATCAAAGGGATACACATACAGAGAGTAATTTAGTAGAATTCAGATATGGTCAAATGTCGTTAAAGGATGAGTATTTAATATAATACGGTTTTAAATATTCTCCTATTTTGTTGCCATATTGCTTGAGTGTGATATTTTCGTTCGAGCACGGACTTCTCGCCCCAGGTGAATGCGTCAATTGTGTTGACCGTGTTCTGGCGCCCTGCACGATTATGATGAGCAATATTAATGAAAAGAATTGGTGATATTTGAAATTTGTAGATATAAACAAATAGATTTTTTTTAATGTATCAGTAATTAAAAGTCTGGTATCTTGGAATTAAATACAGATAAGTTCACCTAATTACTCCTATCTTGAATGGGTGCTTTTATTCCAAAGGACGATAACTCTCCTTTTAAACCTTGAGAGATGTGAACACAGGGCCAAGCTAACCTGTTACCGATTGCCGCCATTTTGGAACCCGTAGAATTTACGGACGTTTAATTGAATGTATTTGAAGATATCTGTACATCATTTCCCGCCTTTTGAGGACTGAAACAATTGATAATGATAATGATATATTTAATTATATTTTATCAACATTGCTGGTATGTTTAAATGGAATACATATATCATTAAGACAACTGAAGATATCAGTAATTAATCATCCGGACAGTTAACATCCCAATAAGTGAGTGAGTGAGGGGTTTTTTACGCCGCTTTTACAGCAATATCACGACGGGGGACACCAGAATTGGGCTTTACACATTGCGCCCATGTGGGGAATCGAACCCGGGCCTTCGGCGTGACGAGCGAACGCTTTAACCATTGGGCTACCCCACCGCCCCAACTTCATAATGAATTCATTAGTTTTGACATACATGTATTACTACTGTATGTATGTAGTTAATAGGTGAGTCCATGCTTCTTTAAGCTATATGACAGCGATATCAGAAATGGGCTTCTACCATTGCACTATGTTCCACAGAATCGAACAGGGGCCCTTGGTGTGCCGATCGAACGCATTACCTACATTTCCTTTTTGAAGATATCTGTGAATCATTTCCCGCCTTTCGGGGACTGGAATAATTTTTTTGCCGTTCTTTCATGATACTTTTATTACAGAATTGATATAAAGATATTGTCAAGATCACTAATGATATGTTTTATTTGATTGTAAATATCAGTAACGGTGAGAATCGAAGATGTCTTGAATTTAATAAAACATAACTCTCATTGAATTAATGATAGCTTAAACGAAGTATTGATATCTGAAATGCATTTCTGGATATGTATAAAAGATTAGTTATATAAGTTATCTTAAACTAAATTTTAGTTCTTTAGATGTCAAAGTTTAATAGAAATTAGACTTTAGAAATAAACATACAAATCGACTGTGCTGGTCCTTCATGTAATGTGATGTCACCTTGTGGCATTTTCAAGTGAAATATTCTTGACTTCAGTCAATTATATTGACATGTCGATAACTTCCCATTGCTGCCATTTCTTCGTATATCTATTGTTTTAACGCCGGTCATTGTTTTCGATTAAAGGGCAAGCTGTAACCAGACACCTTGGATTTCGATGCGCAGAGTTGCGTCCCCCGAGCGTACCACAATCCTATGATCGTGATTTACGACCGACGATTCGTACTGATGATGTTCCTAGGTTTGTCAGAGCTCTACCTATGCTACTGAACTTCATCAAAGTACTTAAATCTTAGGGCGTTGGGGTAGCCTAGTGATTAAAGCGTTCACTCGTTACGCCGAAGGCCCGGAGTCGATTCCCACATGGGTAAAATGTGTGAAGCCCATCCCCCGCCGTGATATTGCTGGAATATTGCTAAAAGCGGCATAAAACCATTTACACAATCACTCACTTAAATCTGAAACCTGTATGATTTCATGCTGTTGTCCGAAATTACAGAAATACTTATCAAAGCGGCGTTAAACAATGCTCACTCACTTTTATGACAAGCATTATATATTTTGGCAGAACTTAAGGCAAGATTGCTGATTTATTGCAAGTGAGCCTAATCATGTTATCAACACTTTTGTTACATATTTTGACAATTGTTTGAACACAATAGGTAATTAATAGATTTTTAAAAATACAAAACGCCTATGCGTTTCTTTGTTTGGATAGTATATATTCAGGGACTAAGCGTTAGTATAGGTCAGATATGGTTAAATGTCGTTGCACGATCATTGTATTCATTTTATATTACTGTCATGAATACTCAATGCCATTTAGAAAGTGGTCAAATGTAACATAGGAGCTTGGGATTACACTTTCTCAGTATAGTAAAGATTCTAGTACTTTTGTTGGGTTGAGTCCCATCCAAGGTGTCAGGCAGGTCTGAGGGTGTGGGTTCGACACAGTCTTATCTTCCATTGTATGCCAGCCTCAGTTGACAAGCATATTAACTTGCAATTAGTGCTGCCACTGCTTGACCAACTGCTTGAGCCTATCTGGGTCGTGTCATCCGCGATTATAACTACAGGGAAATGATCACGTCCAAGCTTGACTTCAATGGTCAAGGCGACTTCGGTACAGAGAACAGTCATGTGAAAAAGACCCGACCTTGACCTTTTATGGATCGGATGGACGCTGTGATTTGGCTAATGACATTGCTCATCGTATCAATCACGTGTATGTTTGACCTTACTCGATTATACTATACTTATATAGTTCGAGAGTTAATGTTTGTGGCGTTAAACAAAACATAAATGATAACTTGATAACAATGTAGTTCACTGTGGTTTTGGACAACCAGGAATAACACAACTAAGAACAAAGAACAGCATAATACAATTTTATTTTAAACAAAGCTATTTTCATTTCAAAGACACACAATATACATTACTGACATGCCAAGAAGATGGAGGTAGTGAATCAGTATGTGTAGCGTTGCTTTAGGTAACATTTAATTTTTATTGTGAGGGACAAAAGAATGGCCACATTATATAACTGAAGTACGTTTAGAAGCCCGACCAGTCTCAGAACTACCGACTTCTCTTAGCCCTCAACACGCACACACGCACGCACGCACGCAGGCACGCAGGCACGCGCGCACGACGCAATCAAGATCAGACACTCACTCACTGGTGCACGAAAGAGAATCTGAACTCCTTTCACAACCAAAGTATATCAACAGACTTTGGAAGAACAAGCAAATGATTCATATTATACCAAAACTGTCAGTACAGCTCTCAGGGAAAGTTACTACTTGGTTGCCTCCCTTGTTCCACCGTGTGTGATGCACTGGTCCCAGTCGGGCCAGAACGTTTCCTTCATACGTTCACAGTAGGCGGCCAGGTTGGGGTATTTGTCTACGAACAAAAGGGAGAGGTCATAAGCAACACGTATTTACCAACAAATGATAATTTTAATTCATATGTAACCAGCTAGATCATTTCAATTTATCTAAATTAAACAAATTCATACAGAACTGAAACAGTTCACATAATTTCACATCACATAGTCGAAATACATTGAGAATGGAAAGTTAAAATCTTAAAGTAATGATGTAGTTTTGTGGATTAATTGTGTTGCCTTTGTTTTTATGTATATTTGAATCAGTCTGAAATCGAAAATGCCAATCGAACGGAAAGCAACACACAACTCCCTTTATACATGTAACGACATGTTGACAGCCGGTTACAATAATGGAGGAATATTTGTCAAACTTGATTCTGTTGATGTTTATCGACTGATACGGTTTACATACCTATACAACACATTTTTGTAATTGTGATGAGGAAAAGGTAGGTGTACATTATGTACACTATGTTAACAGTACCTGCGATGTTTTGAGGCTGGTACAGAGTTCTTTAATGTATGCATTGACAGAATCTTACCTATATACAACACGATGTTCATAACATCAACGTGTGAATATTCATATATAAATCTAATACACTATCAAAGCTGGACAGGTTCAAATTACACTTTAAGTATGCCTCATCACCTGTCCATTGGAGACTTCGATTTGTGTTAAGTTAAGTGGAAATGATAACTTAAAAGTCACTTGCCCTTGAGGATGTCCTTGTGTCCAGTGCCCATGAACTGCCAGTAGAACTCTGACAGCTGACCGAACACCGCACAGTCCGTCTCACAGGGCTGGTCCCCCATCAGGAACTTCTTGGTCCCTGGAACAACCAGCATATGTGGACAGATGAATATATTTAAACAAAACAAATCACATGAAACAAAGTATCATCGCTCCTGAAATATAACAAACCACACCACAAGTGCCAAATTTCAGGATACAGTTTCATCATATTCAACACATGTGGAGGAGGTCATGGAACGTCATGCAATATTTTCCCACTTCAGGTATGATGCAATCCAGTTCCCATCGTCTGTACTGCCATTGTCGATTTCGATATAACAAGTGTCAAGTTTATATTTTGGTCCATCAGAACCTACCCTCGCTGCTCAAACATATTTAACGTCTCAGTATATAATTCAGTTCACAACAGCTTAAAACTTCTGCATACCTATGAAGTCCGACAGGGATTGTAGATCCTTCTTAAACATTTCTGTTCCCTCCTCTTCTGTGTGTCGGCCCAAGCCTTGACTCCATATTTGCTTTTTTACTTGTCGTTGAAACATCCAAAACGTAAACTTGCCTATTTTAAAAGCATTCAGCATCAAAGATTTGTCGTTGTCATATTGCATTCGGAAGAGGACAAGGAACCTGAAACCACAGTACCACAGTACTACTCATTCACTATTCAATATTCATGCAAGCAAACTATGATGGAAATTGCCAGAAGTTTATCTTAAAGACGTAATGTGTCCCCCTAAAACATAACACCTGTCGAAAGTTACAACACATCGTACATCGTGTATTAACGTATTTCGTTTGACGCCGTTACGTGAGTGAGTGAGTGAGTGAATTTGGTTTTACGCGGCGTTAGCGTTAGCAATATCACGGGAGACACCAAAATGAGCTTCACACATTGCCCCATGTAAGGAATCGCACCCAGGTCTTCGAACAAACGCTTTCACCACTAGGTTACCCGCCTAAGGGATCGAAGCACAGGATAGAATGAGCATGATGTTAATCACTGCATTGTCTAGTTCCGACATGTACACACCGCTATCATATACAAGGATTATTCAAGCAATCAATGTTTGCCGTAATGGCTACCATGGACAGACAGATTAAATGGCACCAACTGACTGTTTCTCACCAGTACAGATGTTCCTCCGCCATAACCTGCATCGCCTGAGCTACTCCTCTGTCAGCAGGACTCAGGTTCCTGTTGAGGTCCACTCCCAGCTTCTTGTTGAGGAACTCGATGCACAGTGTAGAGTCCGCCACTGCCTGTCCATTATACTCAATCCAAGTGAATTTGCCTTTTGATGAAGGTTGAAACCCATGGACGTTCTGTGTGGACGATCATATTTTCATGTAGAAAACAGACACTTACATGGCTTAGGATTAGAGTGATTCATAAAGGATTAGGGTATTAGTGCTTGATCCAACTGAATATGTGTTTTGTGAAACAGCTAGGGTATGAATCGCTACTCATGCAGTCAACATCTTGCTTTCTTCGACCAGATTCAGAGTGGGTGAGTGTGAGTGTGGGATTCACCCATGAGGGGAATAGAACCCGGGTCTTGAGCGTGACGAGTGAGTGAGTGAGTGAGTTTAGTTTTACGCCGCACTCAGCTGTAGTCCAGCTATATGGCGGCGGTCTGTAAATAATCGAGTCTGGACCAGACATTCCAGTGATCAACAGCATGAGCAGCGATCTGCGCAATAGGTAACCGATGACATGTGTCAACCAAGTCAGCGAGCCTGACCACCCGATCCCGTTAGTCGCATCTTACGACGAGCATGGGTTACTGAAAATCCATATTCTAACCCTGACATTCATGGGTATTCGGCGTGACGAGCGGACGCTACTAGATTCCGATATGTCGTGACACAATGAGAATATTGCGAACTGCGGCATGAAACAACGCTCATTCACTCATCTCTCACCTACCTGGTAGGGTATCTTGGCCATCCGGAGATAGGTCTCCAGCTTCACCGCAAATGGCGTCATGCTTGGGGCGTAGGGACTTCTACCGACCTGATGATGGATCACCGTATCTCGAGGATAGTCCTTCTTTGTCTTTTTCTCTCTATAAAATATTGTAATAGATCAAGGAACAGCTGATTATTCTCACTTGTCGCTGACATAAACTTAAAGTATTGTAACCCAGTCATTGTACGACATACACTGTGTAATTTAGTGTTCCATGATTTTAAACCGATATGCTACTCGTGACTGTTTTAAAATAGTACAATGGGCCGCTTCCGTGGTGTAGTGGTTAGAGCATCCGCCTGGAGGGCGGGAGCTTGCGGGTTCGATCTCCGGCCACGTCATACCAACATGCGTTAAAATATGGTACTTGTTGGTCCCTGCCTGGCGCTCGGCATTAATGGGTACAACAATGACTGGTCGGCTCGGAGTCAGTATAATGTGTTTGAGTGGTGTATTCATGCTTAACTACGGCATGGCATGTCAGTGAGCGAGCACTATAAAACCAGCTTAAATCTGGGCTACTACAAGCAGCCGGAATGCAGTCTCATATTGTTAAACATACAAGAGGAGTCTTCTGAATAGAAAAAAAATATACAGTCGAGCACCGTTGTCTCGATATTCATGGGACCAAGAAAAATATCGAGTTATCCGAACTTCGAGACGTCAGACCAGGGCATATCATCACATATCACTATGAAAGAAAACAAAACGTTTCTCAGTATGTTTTGATTCGAAACTAAAATCCGTTATCAAAAGTTTTAGTTGTAACAGTGAGTACTTCCTTATTAAATCCTTCTTAATTAATCCTCATTAAATAACAACTGTCGACTCAATTAGCCCTAATTAGTTTTCACTACCGCATCCCTTTGATTCATGCCGCACCGTGTGTAAACGTGTGGAAACAATCTCACTTCAGATGGATAATTGCCCACGAAAGGTAGGTGAATATCGAGTTTCTTTGCAAATATCGAGTTAAAAGGGTAATTTTGCTTGTTGGGACCATGACATTATATCGAGATATCCGAACTATTGAGACATACGTATCGAGTTAAAAGAGCTTGAATAATGATAAATTATAAAGGATTTTGCCGGGACCAAGATGTTATATCGAGACAACCGCGAGATATCGAGTTATCATACTTATGGTCTCTCCAGCATCTCGTTTTGTTAGGGTGAGTGAGTGAATTTGGTTTAATGCCAGTTTCAACAGTGTTACAGTCAAATGGCGGCTTTAAGTCTGAGGAAAGCCAGACATGTCGGTTAAACGTTCGAGCACGCGTATTGTGCTCACATAGAGGGGCGAGCCTGTATTCCAACCCATACGACGCTCTGCAGAGCGACGTCGACAACTGGGTCACCCGTTTGTTTAGCGAAATATCGAGTGAGTATATCTCTTGACTAGCTGTTCACACGAGATACTTACTTGAAACATAGTTTCCTCAGGCCGATGACCGATACGATTGATACGACAATACCTCCGACAGCATACAGTACTTTCTGTGATGTGTCCAGGTCGGTGAAACTATCCACGATACTCTCCATCGTTTTCTGGGTATGCCACTGAACCTACGCTGTGTTAAACTGGCCGACCTAAATAACATCCACCATGATTATCGGTATTTCAAGATCATGTTGAAAAGGGGCATAAGTGGTAAGGGCCTTGGACTGTCAGTTGGATCGGGTAGATAAACAGTCGTTTTCGCCCTTGTGTAGGGTCAAACATAGTCTGTCTTACAGTTTCTGATTCGCATTATTTTCTTTTCCGCTTCGCCCTTTCTGCAGCGGAAAGCAAGTCTAGATTTCCTCAGGTTCTGACTCTCCCTTCTTACTGGGGCTCCTATACAATTTCAAAGGAAGTAAATATTCAAAGATTAAGACTCAGCATAGGTCAGGTATGGTCAAATGTACGTCGTTACAGGATCATTACATCTTCAGTTTTTATAACTGTCGTGCTACATTTTATTTGTTTGCCATATGTGCTTGAGTGTGATATTTCTGCTCGAGCATAAACTCTCTACCTTCCCCACACAGGTGAATGCATCAGTTCTGCTGACTGCACGGGGTGGTGGGGTAGCTTAGTGGTTAAAGCGTTTGCTCGTCACGCTGAAGACCCGGGTTCGATTCCCCACATGGGTGCAGTGTGTGAAGCCCATATCTGGTGTCCCCCGCTGTGCTGGAACATTGCTAAATGCGGCGTAAAACAAAACTCACTCACTCACTCACTGACTGTACGGATATGATGATGTATATAATTGAAAATAGTTGATGTTATTTGAAATTTGTATACTACCATTAGAACACGATTTGAAGATATAAACAAATTCATGTTTCCAATGTATCCGTTATTTCTTTTCTTGAAACTTGATAAAACTTGAACACTGTTCACTGTGTAAAAGAAATACTTTGATGAACATAAATGCACCTTCTCGAAGCGACGTACGTTGACAGTGGCTTACCAGAGAGTGAATGTTTGGAGTTATTCAGGTCGGTGTGTTCACCCACGTACAACCGGTATCCAGGTCAGGTACATACTTGTCGACGATTCACGAACCATGGAGGGATTTTTAGACACTTTCGTAGACGGGTCACAGAAAATTGCATATGCAGTCGGAGGTGTTGTAGTAGCTGTTGCATCGGTCGCCGTCCTCAGGCAGCTGTTGTTAAAGTATGTAGTAACATCTAGTTATCAAGTCAGCTGCGGAAACCATAGCTAAGATACATAGCGTTCACTGACATGAACAAATGGCAAAGTGGAAGGAGAGTATTGAAAGGTTTTTAAGTTCTGCTTTGGAAAAGAGCACAACCACCAAATTCAGTCGAAGTCAAACTTGTTGCCACGGAAAAATATAGTATTCAGAATTCCAAAACTACCAAAAGGCACCAATACACCACAAGGCCAATCTATGTGCCAAGTTTGGCGAAGAAATAGTGAACGGTTTTACAGTTCTGCTGCGGAAAAAGAACACTACTTACCAATTTCAGTCGAAGTCGAAATTGTTGCCATGGAAACACACACAAAAATATTTTATGCAAACATCCAAAACTACCACAAAGGCACCAGTACACCACCAGATCTATCTATGTGCATAGTTTGGTGAAGAAATAGTGAACGGTTTTGAAGTTCTGCTCCGGAACAGACGAATGTGCACAGACAACGTGCATTTTACTAACCACAAATGTAAACAGAGAAATATTTCAGGTTTTGTGGTACAAATGAAATTATAGATAATTAATTCGTGAACTCATTAATAATTTAATTCCTAATTTCTAATTAGTCTTATTAGTAAACTCTGTTTTGTAGGCAAATATTCAGGAGTAGTACAGAGACACCCATGGAACTGTTAAGGTGACAGCAATAATCTGATATTATATGAAGCATTGAAAACTCATCAGCAAATCCTTTGAAAACAGCTGTTGAAAGAGCAGGGATGGTCAATCAGTCTAGATTGGAAACGAAAGTCTCCATACACTCGTTTTAATTGCCTAAATATGTATGAAAATTTGTTGTAAACAAACAACGAGGTATGGAACACGTGTGTTACTATTTTAGGGAGGGAATCCCTTTCGCGTCACAGGTCACGTGATTCAAAATGGCGCCACTCGTATGTGAGCGATCATCTGAAATGTTTGATGGCTTGTAAATATTGATTTTTAGATATTTTGATAACGAAAATAGGGCGCACGTGTAGGTATAAGTACAAAGAAGTCATTTATAAAAGGTTTTCGTGCGCAAAAATCGTAACGAGTGCGCGAAAGTGTGACAAAGGATTTCCACCATTGCGGCCTATGGAGGTGCTCCATAGCGTTCATGTCAGTGAACACTATGTATCTTAGCTGCGGAAACCACCGGTGAACGATTGTTTTGATACCCAGAGAAAACTCGCCGGGTATATCACAGTACAGTTTTTGTATCGAACGGAAAGGGCTGCATGTCTTAGTCTATGTATGTATGAAGTCGTACCTATATGTAACAGTAAACAAAAGTACTGTGTTATTTAAAATGATAAAATCTTTTGGTACAGCCCTGACCTCGATCGCCTTTTCGATATAAATAATTTTCAGTGACTGAGAACGAAAGGTCAAAGGTCAAAAGTTAGAACAAGCACCCAAACCGAAATCCAGGTTGTGCACAGAAAGAGACATATTTTCAGATTGTAACAGTCATTATTCAAATATGTTAGTTCCATTTAAAAGTTCTGGGTGATCGCACTGGGTTACCAGGTGTTCTGGTTACTATAACAACAGGCGGTTTGTGGGTGTGCTAAACACGCTTACATTGACCTTGAATATCAATACGAGCAGATTCCTATGTACATGATGACAGTGTACTGTTCTCGGTGTGAGGGGCGGTGGGGTAGATAGTGATTAAAGCGTTCGATCGTCATGCCGAAGATCCGGGTTCGATTCCCTGGATGAGTAAAATGTGTGAAGCCCATTTCTGGTGTCCCCCACCGTGATATTGCTGCAATATTGCTAAAAGCTGCGTAAAACCCAACTCACTCACTCTCGGTGTGATCTGATAACATTGAGCCGATAGTTTTCTGTAAATATATAAATAAACCAGAAGAACTATTCGCCAGGTCAGCACACACTGATAGTTGTGGTGGCCGTGGTTCCCTAGAGCACCAAGCCTTACCCTCCGTAGGCTAATTGGAAATGATTAAGGAAGAAAAGTTTTCAGTCTCTGTCTCTCAGGATTAATACTACTACTTTGCTACTTCACATTTGTTTGTTTGTTTACGATGTCCTCATATAAGCCTCATATGGTAATAACATGTATTTCGTAAGAGCTGTGAATAATGTGAATTACCCCACCTAGGCTAGGGGTGAGTCCCCGCTCTTTGTTCCGGGACCAATATAGTCACTCGAGTGAATTGAAATTTATACACACTCCGATCGCGGCACCGAGGTACATGTCTAAATAATTATTTTGTACAACTTATGTATGTTAAATACACATATGATGCACGAAATGGTTATGTTTACATATCTTTTGGTTGCAAGAATAGACTATGTCTACATGTACATGCATTTAACCAGTTTAAGACACAGATTAATGATACCACAGCACAGGACAGCATGACTGTCTATAAATGTACAAAACATCAGTGATAAGGATCAACAATGGGGATTACATCTTATATAGTATGACCAGAAATTATTGAGAATTTTAGGAATATGTTTAATTGGATTTCTAATATAAACAACCTTGACCAGCTATCAAGTGCTTGGTTTCATTCAAGAGAGAAAACTCCGTTAATTCTTTTACATTAGTTTGTGAAGAGTTATTCCCCTTTGTTTACTCGCTAGCAGACGACATTTTTAGTGATCCTCAGTATGGATGATTTAGAGAAGAGGAAGTTGATTTTAGAGTATTATAATAAGGACATCAGATCAGCTAAAGTGATTTCAAGTATAACAGGCATCCCTTTGTCCACTGTATATCGTGTTTTGAAAAATATTGCAAATGGATATGGCATTGAGCACCAGGGAGGCGCAAGTAGGCCCAGAAAATTGACCGTTGGTGACATGAGGCGGCTTGGTATTCTTGTTTCTAAAAACAAACGAAGGAGTTTAGAAAACTTAAGGCTGGATATCATTGATAGAGGAAATGTGTCTGTCTGTAAGGAGACAATCAGAACTGAGCTGCATGCAATGGGTTGGCAGAAAAGTCGAGGAATTCCATCACCGATCATGAAACCTGAACAAAAGGAGCGAATGTTGAACTGGTGCTTACAGCATAGAAATTTTAACTGGGACAGTGTGATTTTCTCAGATGAAAGTTCTGTGTGGCTGTGTCCTAATACACTGAAATTCTGGACCAAAAAACTGAAGAACCTTAGTTGTATCAACGCCCAAAGTACAGTCCGAAATTTAACGTGTGGGGTGGCATATGTGTGTTAGGGGCAACGCCCCTCTGTGTATTTGAAGGGAATATGAACAGTGAGCGGTACACAGATATTCTCGAGGGACATTTACTTCCATCTCCTCACGTGTTCTAAGGAAATATTTGGATTTTCCAGCAGGACAATGACCCAAAACATCGTTCAAAGCATTCACAGGCTCTGAATCTGGAGTTATGTTCCGCTAATATTCACATTAAATAGGTGAGTAATGAGTGATTTTTTTTTTTAAATTACAATCTTTAAATTCTCAATAATTTCTGGTTGTACTGTAACTTATAAAATTAAGGGTTCGAGACAGATGTCAAAGTTAAATGGTAATTAGCCTTTAGAACTACATGTTCGACCCGTGAAGGTCCGGGTTAGAATTGGCCTTCATTAGTGAGTGAGTGTGTTTAGTTTTACACCGCACTCAGCAATATTCCAGCTTTTTGGCGGCGTTCTGTAGATAATCTGGGCCCCGTTCCACAAAGCGATCTTAGCGCTTAGATTGCAACCCCCATGCTTTAACATAGACTTACGACTGTCGTAGCGTTACGATCGCTTTGGGGAACGGAGCCCTAAGCCTCGTTCCACAAAGCGTTCGTAGCGCTTAGATCATGACACCCATGCTTTAACATAGACTTACGACCGTCGTAGCGTTACGATCGCTTTGGGGAACGGGGCCCTGGCTTTCAGTAACCCATGACTTGTCGTAAGAGGCGACCAACGGGATCGGGTGGTTAGGCTCGCTGGCTTGGTTGACACATGTCATCGGTTTCCATTTGCGATGCTCATGCTGTTGATCACTGGATTGTCTGGTCCAAACTCGATTATTTACAGACCACCGCCATATAGCTGGAATACAGCTGAGTGCTGCGTCAAACTAAATTCACTCACTCACTCACTGAATGTTCAATCCGACTGTATAGGTGCTGAACCACGTGATTGCAGTACGTAACATGGCACTTTCAAGTGAAATATTCTTGACTTTAGTCATTCATATTGATATACTGACAATGGCCCATTTCTGCTCTTTCACAGTTGTGCGTATGTCGTGTAAGTTAGGCAGGCGCAAAAATGGTTCTGATTATCAAAGTCCACTGGACATTTTTAATTCCGAATAATTCTGAAAAATAAATATGTTTGACCTTACTCGATTATACTATTCTCATATAGTTGGAGAGTTGATGTTTGCGGCGTTAAACAAAACATAAATGATAACTTGATAACAATGTAGTTCACTGTGGTTTTGGACAACCAGGAACAACACAACTAAGAACAAAGAACAGCATAATACAATTTTTTTTTAAACAAAGCTATTTTCATTTCAAAGACACACAATATACATTACTGACATGCCAAGAAGATGGAGGTAGTAAATCAGTATGTGTAGCGTTGCTTTAGGTAATATTTAATTTTTACTGTGAGGGACAAAAGAATGGCAACACTATATAATTGAAGTACAATTAGAAGCCCGACCAGTCTCAGAACTACCGACTTCTCTTAGCCCTCAACACGCACGCACGCACGCACGCACGCACGCACGCACGCACGCACGCAATCAAGGTCAGACACTCACTCACTGGTGCACGAAAGAGAATCTGAACTCCTTTCACAACCAAAGTATATCAACAGACTTTGGAAGAACAAGCAAATGATTCATATTATACCAAAACTGTCAGTACAGCACTCTGGAAAAGTTACTACTTGGTTGTCTTCCTCGTTCCACCATGTGTGATGCACTGGTCCCAGTCGGGCCAGAACATTTCCTTCATACGTTCACAGTAGACGGCCAGGTTGGGGTATTTGTCTACGAACAAAAGGGAGAGGTCATAAGCAACACGTATTTACCAACAAATGATAACTTTAATTCATATGTAACCAGCTAGATCATTTCAATTTATCTAAATTAAACAAATTCATACAGAACTGAAATATAGTCGAAATACATTGAGAATGGAAAGTTAAAATCTTAAAGTTATGATGTAGTTTTGTGGATTAATTGTGTTGCCTTTGTTTTTATGTATATTTGAATCAGTCTGAAATCGAAAATGCCAATCGAACGGAAAGCAACACACAACTCCCTTTATACATGTAACGACATGTTGACAGCCGGTTACAATAATGGAGGAATATTTGTCAAACTTGATTCTGTTGATGTTTATCGACTGATACGGTTTACATACCTATACAACACATTTTTGTAATTGTGATGAGGAAAAGGTAGGTGTACATTATGTACACTATGTTAACAGTACCTGCGATGTTTTGAGGCTGGTACAGAGTTCTTTAATGTATGCATTGACAGAATCTTACCTATAGACAACACGATGTTCATAACATCAACTTGTGAATATTCATATATAAATCTAATACACTATCAAAGCTGGACAGGTTCAAATTACACTTTAAGTATGCCTCATCACCTGTCCATTGGAGACTTCGATTTGTGCTAAGTTTGTACACAGCCAGCTTCAAGAAAGACTTCTTAGACCAATAATAGCTCAGATTGCATCTCAAAGATGGCACAATTTCACGTGTTGCATGTACGATGCCTTGGTCGCTCTTCTGGTCGTCATAGTGTGAGAACAATTGTAGGGTTCGCACTTAGTTCATGCATGGATGAAGGCTCATTTGACTTCCGACTCATTTCTTCAGTTAACTCCAATCAAACCAATGATATTACAAATCGTTCTTGTAACTGGTTCTGTGCCAGGAATTCTCTGGTCATTCTGAACGACTATGTAAAGAAAACTGACGCAACTATTGGTAATTATAGAGAAACTATACATCAGCCATGGTTTGATAGAGAGGAGGGTGTGGTTTTGGAGTTCAAAACCGTGAAGTGGAAATGATAACTTAAAAGTCACTTGCCCTTGAGGATGTCCTTGTGTCCAGTGCCCATGAACTGCCAGTAGAACTCTGACAGCATACCGAACACCGCACAGTCCGTCTCACAGGGCTGGTCCCCCATCAGGAACTTCTTGGTCCCTGGAACAACCAGCATGTGTGGACAGATGAATAATTATATTGAAACAAAACAAATCACATGAAAGTATCATCGCTCCTGAAATATAAGTGCCAAATTTCAGGATGCAGTTTCATCCTATTCAACACATGTGGAGGAGGTCATGGAACGTCATGCAATATTTTCCCACTTCAGTTATGATGCAATCGAGATCCCATCGTCTGTATTGCCATTGTCGGTTTTGATATAACAAGTGTCAAGTTTATATTTTGGTCCATCGGAACCTACCCTCGTCTCTGTATATAATTCAGTTCACAACAGCTTAAAACTTCTGCATACCTATGAAGTCCGACAGGGATTGTAGATCCTTCTTAAACATTTCTGTTCCCTCCTCTTCTGTGTGTCGGCCCAAGCCTTGACTCCATATTTGCTTTTTTACTTGTCGTTGAAACATCCAAAACGTAAACTTGCCTATTTTAAAAGCATTCAGCATCAAAGATTTGTCGTTGTCATATTGCCATCGGAAGAGGACAAGGAACCTGAAACCACAGTACCACAGTACTACTCAATCACTATTCATTCATGCCAAAGCAAACTATGATGGAAATTGCCAGAAGTTTATCTTAAAGACGTAATGTGTCCCCCTAAAACATAACACCTGTCGAAAGTTACAAAACATCGTACATCGTGTATTAACGTATTTTCGTTTGACGCCGTTACGTGAGTGAGTGAGTGAATTTGTTTTAGCGGCGTTAGCAATATCACGGGAGACACCAAAATGGGCTTCACACATTGTACCCATGTAAGGAATCGCACCCAGGTCTTCGAACAAACGCTTTCACCACTAGGTTACCCGCCTAAGGGATCGAAGCACAGGATAGAATGAGCATGATGTTAATCACTGCATTGTCTAGTTCCGACATGTACACACCGCTATCATATACAAGGATTATTCAAGCAATCAATGTTTCCTGTAATGGCTACTATGGACAGACAGAGAGATTAAATGGCACCAACTGACAGTTTCTCACCAGTATAGATGATCCTCCACCATGGTCTGCATCGCCTGAGCTACTCCTCTGTCAGCAGGACTCAGGTTCCTGTTGAGGTCCACTCCCAGCTTCTTGTTGAGGAACTCGATGCACAGTGTAGAGTCCGCCACTGCCTGTCCATTATACTCAATCCAAGTGAATTTGCCTTTTGATGAAGGTTGAAACCCATGGACGTTCTGTGTGGACGATCATATTTTCATGTAGAAAACTGACACTTACATGGCTTAGGATTAGAGTGATTCATAAAGGATTAGGGTATTAGTGCTTGATCCAACTGAATATGTGTTTTGTGCAACAGCTAGGGGTATGAATCGCTGCTCATGCAGTCACCAACTTGCTTTCTTGGACCAGATTCAGAGTGGGTGAGTGTGAGTGTGGGATTCACCCATGAGGGGAATGGAACCCGGGTCTTCAGCGTGACGAGGCCTTCTTTGTCTTTTTCTCTCTATAAAATATTGTAATAGATCAAGGAACAGCTGATTATTCTCACTTGTCGCTGACATAAACTTAAAGTATTGTAACCCAGTCATTGTACGACATACACTGTGTAATTTAGTGTTCCATGATTTTAAACCGATATGCTACTCGTGACTGTTTTAAAATAGTACAATGGGCCGCTTCCGTGGTGTAGTGGTTAGAGCATCCGCCTGGAGGGCGGGAGCTTGCGGGTTCGATCTTCGGCCACGTCATACCAACATGCGTTAAAATATGGTACTTGTTGGTCCCTGCCTGGCGCTCGGCATTAATGGGTACAACAATGACTGGTCGGCTCGGAGTCTTTATAATGTGTCTGAGTGGTGTATTCATGCTTAACTGCGGCATGGTATCTCATTGAGCTAGCACTATAAAACCAGCTTAAATCTGGGCTAGTACAAGCAGCCGGAATGCAGTCTCATATTGTTAATCATACACGAGAGTCTTCTGAATAGAAAAAAATATACAGTCGAGCACCTTTAAGTTTATGTCAGCGACAAGTGAGAATAATCAGCTGTTCCTTGATCTATTACAATATTTTTTATAGAGAAAAAGACAAAGAAGGACTGTGAGACAGACTATGTTTGACCCTACACAACGAAAATAAGGGCGAAAACGACTGTCTATCTACCCGATCCAACTGACAGTCCAAGGCCCTTACCACTTATGCCCCTTTTCAACATGATCTTGAAATACCGATAATAATGGTGGATGTTATTTAGGTCGGCCAGTTTAACACAGGTGGGTTCACTGACATACCCAGAAAACGATGGAGAGTATCGTGGATAGTTTCACCGACCTGGACACATCACAGAAAGTACTGTATGCTGTCGGAGGTATTGTCGTATCAATCGTATCGGTCGTCGGCCTGAGAAAACTATGTTTCAAGTAAGTAGCTCGTGTGAATAACTAGTCAAGAGATACTCACTCGATATTTCCCTAAACAAACGGGTGACCCAGTTGTCGACGTCGCTCTGCAGAGCGTCGTGCAAAATGTCCACTGAAGTGTGGGTTGGAATACAGGCTCGCCCCTCTATGTGAACACAATACGCGTGCTCTTTGTGTAGGGTCAAACATAGTCTGTCTCACAGTTTCTGATTCGCATTATTTTCTTTTCCGCTTCGCCTTTTCTGCAGTGGAAAGCACTGTGTGAAGCAAGTCTAGATTTCCTCACGTTCTGAATCTCCCTTCTTACTGGGGCTCCTATACAATTTCAAAGGAAGTTAATATTCAAAGACTAAGAGTCAGCATAGGTCAGGTGTGGTCAAATGTACATCGTTACAGGATCATTACATCTTCAGTTTTTATAACTGTCGTGCTACATTTTATTTGTTTGCCATATGTGCTTGAGTGTGATATTTCCGCTCGAGCATAAACTGTTTACACCCCCCCCCCACCCCCCACCCCAGGTGAATGCATCAGTTCTGCTGACTGCACGGGGTGGTGGGGTAGCTTAGTGATTAAAGCGTTCGCTCGTCACGCCGAAGACCCGGGCTCGATTCCCCACATGGGTGCAGTGTGTGAAGCCCATTTCTGGTGTCCCCCGCTGTGATATTGCTGGAATATTGCTAAATGCGGCGTAAAACAAAACTCACTCACTCACTGACTGTACGGATATGATGATGTATATAATTGAAAATAGTAACTGTTATTTGAAATTTGTATACTACCATTAGAACACGATTTGAAGATATAAACAAATTCATGTTTCCAATGTATCCGTTATTCCTTTTCTTGAAACTTGATAAAACTTGAACACTGTTCACTGTGTAAAAGAAATACTTTGATGAACATAAATGCACCTTCTTGAAGCGACGTACGTTGACAGTGGCTTACCAGAGAGTCATTCGTCACCACTCGCTCCTTTCCGTAACCTCCAAGAAGACTCGTACCCCACTCGATACTTGTTATGTGCGAAAATACGACAAACCAATCAGAACGCGCGTAAATGAGCGCGGTGCTTTGATAAAAATAATCCCGAGTACTTAAATCGTTTATGGCATTATGTCATTGTGTAAAAAATCATGAAAAATGTATATCGTCATATTGAAAGTACAAAGAACGTAGCTAAAAGAATTTTGTTGCCTATCATGAAGTTTTTAATAAGAATCATGCGATTGACGGTGAGAGATTCAAATACACGCACGTGCGTTTGTTGACAAAACTGCTCTCATGGGTCCAGCTAAGTGTATTTCTGACGATCTTGTGGGCTTGTTATGGAGATTGTACGTGCGCTTCGACCAATTTTAGGAAAATGTAATTATGTTTCAAAACAATAATATCGTATTTGTATGTAACTAATCAACCTTAATCTTTAACATTGGGCTTATATTTCATAGCTCTGGGGATATTTTAGTCTGACTGTTTTTTGGTCATTCACATTTTTTTCAGCGAATTCATTTAAAATTCCACCAAGGGTGTGACAGCCAGGTTGCACGAATGTTCAGTTTGAGAAATATTTTAAAGTCATTTTTGAGTATCTGCTTTGGGATTTAATGTAGCTGAATTTTTTTATTTATTTGTATATTCAATAAAACAATTCCCATTTGTGATGATTAAACCCTTTTAAGAACCCTATTAATTAACATAATTGGAAATATAAGGTGAACAGCTGGTAATAATTACATTAGAATATGTCTTTAACAAATATGTTTTTCTCCTTCTTTTAGTTGTATCAAAGAGGTTTAATTCTTTAAAATAAATAAGTAAAAAAAACACCCCCAAAACAACAACCTAGCAATACAATGTACATGTGCTTCGGTGATTTTTAGAAACATTGCAGTCAAACAGGGATAGATTTGACGTTCTTGTTTAAAGTAGTTCTGATGTTCGTGCGCCAATATAAAATCCTTCCAGAGGGGCACGAGTCGCTATTCGGCTTGTCCCGGAATAACACGAGTTGGTCACGGATGACAAGAGAGTGAATGTTTGGAGTTATTCAGGTCAGTGTGTTGACCCACATACGGTCGGTATCCAGTTCAAGTACATACTTGTCGACGATTCACGAACCATGGAGGGACTTTTGGACACTTTCGTAGACGGGTCACAGAAAATTATATATGCAGTCGGAGGTGTTGTAGTAGCTGTTGCATCGGTCGTCGTCATCAGGAAGCTCTTGTTAAAGTATGTAGTAACATCTAGTTATCAAGTCAGGTGCGGAAACCACCGGTGAACGATTGTTTTGATACCCAGAGAAAACTCGCCGGGTATATCACAGTACAGTTTTTGTATGGAACGGAAAGGGCTGCATGTCTTAGTCATGTATGTATGAAGTCGTACCTATATGTAACAGTAAACAAAAGCACTGTGTTATTTAAAATGATAAAATCTTTTGGTACAGCCCTGACCTCGATCGATATAAATAACCTTCAGTGACTGAGAACGAAAGGTCAAAGGTCAAAAGTTAGAACAAGCACCCAAACCGAAATCCAGGTCGTGAACATAAAGAGACATATTTTCAGATTGTAACAGTCATTATTCAAATATGTTAGTTCCATTTAAAGGTTCTGGGTTATCGCACTGGGTTACCAGGTGTTCTGGTTACTATAACAACAGGCGGTTTGCGGGTGTGCTAAACACGCTTACATTGACCTTGAATATCAATACGTGCAGATTCCTATGTACATGATGACGGTGTACTGTTCTCGGTGTGAGGGGCGGTGGGGTAGATAGTGATTAAAGCGTTCGATCGTCATGCGGAAGATCCGGGTTCGATTCCCTGGATGAGTACAATGTGTGAAGCCCATTTCTGGTGTCCCCCACCGTGATATTGCTGCAATATTGCTAAAAGCTGCGTAAAACCCAACTCACTCACTCTCGGTGTGATCTGATAACATTGAGTCGATAGTTTTCTGTAAATATGTAAATAAACCAGGTCAGCACACACTGATAGTTGTGGTGGCCGTGGTTCCCTAGAGCACTAAGCCTTACCTTCCGTAGGCTAATTGGAAATGATTAAGGAAGAAAAGTTTTCAGTCTCTGTCTCTCAGGATTAATACTACTACTTTGCCACTTCACATTTGTATGTTTGTTTACGATGTCCTCATATAAGCCTCATATGGTAATAACATGTATTTCGTAAGAGCTGTGAATAATGTGAATTACCTCACCTAGGCTAGGGGTGAGTCCTCACTCTTTGTGAGTGAATTGAAATTTATACACACTCCGATCGCGGCACCGAGGTACATGTCTAAATAATTATTATGTACAACTTATGTATGTTAATTACACATTTGATGCACGAAATGGTTATGTTTACATATCTTTTGGTTGTAAGAATAAACTATATCTACATGTACATGCATTTAACCAGTTTAAGACACAGATTAATGATACCACAGCACAGGACAGCATGACTGTCTATAAATGTACAAAACATCAGTGATAAGGATTAACAATGGGGATTACATCTTATAACTTATAAAATTAAGGGTTCGAGACAAACAGATGTCAAAGTTAAATGGTAATTATCCTTTAGAACTACATGTTCGACGTGTGAAGGTCCGGGTTAGAATTGGCCTTCATTAGTGAGTGAGTGTGTATAGTGTTACGCCGCACTCAGCAATATTCCAGCTATATGGCGGCGTTCTGTAAATAATCTGGGCCCCGTTCCACAAAGCGATCGTAGCGCTTAGATCGCGACCCCCATGCTTTAACATAGACTTACGACTGTCGTAGCGTTACGATCGCTTTGGGGAACGGGGCCCTGGCTTTCAGTAACCCGTGCTTGTCGTAAGAGGCGACCAACGGGATCGGGTGGTTAGGCTCGCTGGCTTGGTTGACACATGTCATCGGTTTCCATTTGCGATGCTCATGCTGTTGGTCACTGGATTGTCTGGTCCAAACTCGATTATTTACAGACCACCGCCATATAGCTGGAATACAGCTGAGTGCGGCGTCAAACTAAATTCACTCACTCACTCACTAAATGTTCAATCCGACTGTATAGGTGCTGAACCACGTGATTGCAGTACGTAACATGGCATTTTCAAGTGAAATATTCTTGACTTTAGTCATTCATATTGATATATTGACAATGGCCCATTTGTGCTCTTTCACAGTTGTGCGTATGTCGTGTAAGTTAGGCAGGCGCAAAATGGTTCTGATTATTTTCAAAGTCCACTGGACATTTTTAATTCCGAATGATTCTGAAAACTAACTACCAGTTTCAATATAGGTTTCAAGCCGTGATATAACTGAAAAGTAAGGTTCAAAACGGCATTAAATGAGTGAGTGAATATGGTTTTTCATCCCTTTTAGCAATATTCCAGCAATTTTACGTCGGGTGACACCAGAAATGGTCTTCAGACATTGTACCTATGTGTCGAAGCGACCCCTGGTCTTCGGCCTGACGAGCGAACACTTCAACTACCCCACCGCCCTTCTTAACGGCATTAAGACGAACCAACTCGTTGAAATATATACGCACCAATTACAACCCATTTTCACTTGGTTGTGTACCACCTATAACTACCTAACAACAGACATCACTTTATTATCGACATGCAACAAATTATATTTGTACATCGAACTTATGCTCTTTTGTAAAACAGCAGGGTGCTTCATAACCGAAGCTAATAAGTTCAATACATTTCTATTGGATAGACAATTTGGTTGTTATATTGAGGACACTATGTCAATATTCCACAGGCAGAAGGCGAAGGAGTATCCCCGAGATACGGTGGTCCTTCATCAGATCGGTAGAGGTCCTTACGCCCCCAGCTTGACGCCGTTTGCTGTGAAGCTGGAAACCTACCTCCGGATGGCCAGGATACCCTACCAGGTGGGTGAATGATGTGTTGAATGAGTGAGTGAAGTAAACCACTGGCAATAACAGAACAAACCATCGAAGCAACAGACCATTATACACAGTCAGCCAGGTAGACAGTGTTACCACCCGATACGCATAACTCGACTCCGACTACTCTGACTACAATGCCAGAGTTTCAATGAGTTACTGAGTGAGAATGGGGTTACGCCGGCTTTATCAAAATTCTAGCAATATCACGGCGCGGTACACCAGAAATGGGCTTCTCACATTGTACCAATGCGGGGAATCGAACCCGGGTCTTCGGCGTGACGAGCGAACGCCTTAACATAAGGCTACCCTACCGCCCCTGGAAAGTTTGGTCATTTGAACGTGGTTGTGGCACGTTGGTGGTCAGATCATCGCAGATCGTACAGAAACGTGAAGATCCGGATTAGAATAATATTATTGTTCTTCAGCAACCCATGCAGAGCTGACCAATGGGATCAGGTTGCTGACATGGTTGACACATGTCAGAGATCGATGATCATGGTCCAGACTCGATTATTTACAGACAGCTGGAATATTGCTGAGTGCTGCAACAACAAGCAAACAAAATCAGATCGTACAGATATTTGGCTGCTGTGTCAGGCACCAACAGGGTCCGAAAGCATGTCTGAAATGCTCTATAATTTGTGTTCAGTAGCGAGATGAACCCTCCATGTCAATGTTACCCTGCTGGTATTGCTAATGGAACTGGGGAATGATACAGAATGAAAAGTATCAATCTCTGTCTCTCAGCATTAGTATTTTGCCATCTTCACGTTTGTTTGTTTGTTTATTTAAGATGTCTGTGATTTGCTCTGTGATCTTCCACTCAGAACGTCCACGGGCTGAAAGTGTCATCTAAGGGCAAGGTCCCCTGGATTGAGTATAATGGGAAGGCTGTGGCGGATTCGACATTATGTATTGACTTCCTGAACGAAAAGCTGGAAGTGGACCTCCACCAGCACCTGAGTCCCCGGGACAAGGGTGCAGCTATGGCAATGCAGGTCATGACGGAAGAACATCTGTACTGGTGAGCCTAGAAAATGTTTGTTAGGATCGGTACAATGAAACCATTAAGATACATTCTACTATGAATTTGGAAAATACACGTACATGTGCCCGATCGATTTGGGGTGTCAAATAGCAATAACCATTTCTGTGTGAACTGTTGCGTTCTCGATGAAGTTAAAATATCATATAAAAGTCCCCCCTGCTGATTAACATCGTTGACTGAAGGTATTTTGAATATATTTTGTGTAAATATTGGGAGAGTCTCATTTATTATCACTTATAACATACTTTTCCAAATCATTTCAAATATACTGAGGGAAACAAATAAAGGAACACAGGACAGTTCAAGCGTTCCTTCCATATATTCCAGTTTTCATCACCAGCTTGTGATGAATGGCGCTGTGGGAGGAAATCTGAGGAACACTGCAATGAAGTGGTGTTGCCTTATTTATTTCCTTCAGTATATGTCACTTAAGCTGTTGATGACTGACGATGTCCCTTGCTTCACGCTAATTACAGTCTGGACCTTGACTGGAACTTCCCTTTAATACATGTAGTTGGTTTGTGTGATATCGTCACTCTTTAACCAGGCCATGTAAAAGAACGTATATATCCACTGGTTAAACACGAATTAATATTAATGATAATGAACATTTAGATTTGTGTTTCAGGTTCCTCGCCCTATTCCGCTACCAATATGATAACGACAAAACCTTTATTAAGCAAACGTCGAAGATAGGATGGATTGTTGTACCAATTATCAAGTATATGGTTGCAAAAGCAACATGGTATCAAGGTTTGGGTCGCCACACAGAAGAGGAAGTGACACAGATGTTTAAGAAGGAGCTCCAGGCTCTTTCTGACTTCATGGGTAAATCAAGCCCACAGGGGCGTGTCACGCTTAGAAACAGCGTTAGAAAGACATATAGGTATATAGACCCTACCCTAGTACTATATAAAAGGAAAGGGATGTAACGACGGAACCACCCCCTCCTCAATCTAAGTTAGATTTCACCACGTAAACTATTTTAAGGCCCCGTCGAGGCCTACGGATCAAAGGCGAGATGATTTCCCTACAAAATGAGCTATAAATAGTCACAATCGGATCATTATTTCAAAAGTTATACGCCACGACTCACCGAAAACAGCTACCTCCGCAATTCCAAGCCAAAATCATGGATCACCCAAGACAGCGAAAACTCACCTTTTAAATTCGTTTATTAATTCCAGCCACGTTGACAGCACCTATGTAGGGCTAGATTCGATCGGCAGCGCCATTCGACGGGTCTAAAAACTTATTGCAACATCTACAACTCATTGATTGAGGAGGGGGTGGTTCCGTCGTTACATCCCTTTCCTTTTATATAGTACTAGGGTAGGGTCTATATACCTATGTGTCTTTCTGACGCTGTTTCTAAGCTTGACACGCCCCTGTGATCAAGCCGACATATTTGTTTTCTGTGACACTATCTTGTATGTACCTGAAGTTTTACATACCAGATCAATTATTTTATCAAAAGAGACATTATGGGTACAGAAGAATCCGTGACTATATTTACAACTTCAGACATCAACATGTATATTTATGATATCGCAATGATACCTGGGTAGCAACTATTCATGGAAAGCGTGCTTGATAATTGTCTTGACATACACAAGATACAACGGCTGAGTCATTCTCAAGGAGTTCAAATCAAAGTCACTCCGCCTCAATAACGTCTCACCCACAAAGAAGCCCACTGAAAATACTAAAGGATGCACGTACAATTGACGACCATATAGCTTGAGATACAGGACAAAGATGTTTATGCAGGCGAATAGGGTCACATGTTTGCAGCACTGTTTATATACTAGTCAGTGATAGTTACTGCCTACTAGCTGACCCGTGACGATCAGGGTTACAATTGGTTTGCAGCAACCCATGTTTTGTCGGAATATTGCTGAGTGCGGCGTTAAGCTACAAGCCAGCCAAAACCTAAAAGCTAACTTAGAACACAATGGATTTTACAATGTCATGCATCAGTTCGCTCAAAGTGAACCACAAGCATACAATTCATGACACAGCAATGATATACATCGGTGCCAAGTGTCTGTGTACTGCATGTTCCTTTATATTCCTTCTATTTTCCTCTCGTCTCAGGGGGAGAGGAAGTTCCTGATGGGAGATGAACCTTGTGAATCTGACTGCGCGGTGTTCGGACAACTGTCTCAGCTGTACTGGCATTTTCTTGGAACAGGGCATGAAAATCTCATCAGAGGTACCACATTAAATACATAATTTTTATATTTATTCATTTTCGCATTGCATCGAGGTCAACAAATAAAACCTACATTCGTTTTTTGATGGTTAAGGGCAGTTTGGTACATGTGTGCTGTTACGTAATAGATTGCAGGTATTGCTTTTGTACACTTCAGTTTGATTTCGTCCTCTGAACCCGATTTGTGAAGTGGAAACTTGGTACATGTTAAGATGTAATCCTGATGCATCATTTTGTCTTTAGAAACAGTGACAAATTACAAAGATACTCATACTGTTCTTTCTGTTTATTTATATGATATTTAAACAGTCAGTCATATATTTAACATTTATTATCTCGTATTGTTCCCTGTCCTAGACAAATACCCAAACCTGGCCGCCTACTGTAACCGTATGAAGGAAACATTCTGGCCTGACTGGGACCAGTGCATCACTCATGGTGGAACAAAGGAGGCAACCAAGTAAAGGGAGACAACACGGTGTGGACATTTGCACCACATTAATTTCATGCCCTGTTTCTTTAGTCAGGTATAATACTAAAAGCTTTTAGTTTTATGATGGGAGTCCAAAGATACCTGGCATATAGATATAGTTCACCCGGATTTTTGACTGACCATAATGGATAATGTCTCACATCAGCTTTAGCTCCTTCGCCTTTTCACACGGTAAACTATTTTCTCATATATATCTTGTTTATCTAACCGGTGAAGTTCCGGGTTAGAATGAACCTTCAGTAACCCATGCTTGTCGTAAGAGGTGATTAACGGGATCGGGTGGTCAGGCTCGCTGGCTTGGTTGACACATGTCATTGGTTCCCAATTTCGCAGATCGACGCTCATGCTATTGATCACCGGATTGTCTGGTCCAGACTCGATTATTTACAGACCGCCGCCACAAGGCTGGAATACTGCTGAGTGCGGCGTAAAACTAAACTCACTCACTCACTCTTGTATTCCTCTGTCACAGACAAGGCATTATTTTTCAAGATTATACCCTTTCGACTACTTCACCCTTGAAAAGTATTGACTTTCCTTCTTGAGGGTCATTTAGACTACTTCACAGTGTGCCACAACTGTCTATATGGTTGTCTCCCAAAACCACTACAACCCATAAACCCTACACCCAGTAACCCTACAATGAATTAAAACAACACCCGGCATTTACCTGTCTGTTAGAATGAACTGACCCAAAGGAGAGATTACAGGATACAGATAAATAATTTGAGATGATTTTGGGTGGTATATACCAGGGACGTTCAAAAGGTAGCTAGCCTAAGTATATTCTCGATGTCCAACGTTTGAAATGCTTCCATTTTATTTTGGAGAAATTATTAGCAAAGCCATATCCAATATTTCACATATGTGGATGCGGTTACAACCCATTAAGGTATAATATTTGAGGAAAGAAATTGAGGAAAATGAAAAACAATCATTTGGTACGTCTTGGATAATGGTGTGCCCTCAGATAATATCATAGAAAATATGTTCAGTATAATTTTGGATGACTACCCGTCATAATCAACATTCAAAGATTTGGATTGCTTGATTTACATTAAGACGGGGGCTGTTTTTCAAGGACACCCCCATTTTAATCTTTCAAAAACATTGTGTCCAGATATTCATGCTGGCACTGTTTACAATATATTGAGAGCTGACACTTGTGTGACCATTACTTTTGTATGCACTTTAATATCTAAGTTTCATTCTAGACGACTTCTGCCTGTCTCAAACACAAAATGTTTCTTGCATATTTTGTTTCCTAAAGTTTGTGATGCATTTATTGCAGATGTTTTCGTTTTGGGGGGATATCAAGATAAAATGTCAAACAAAATGGGGATCGTGAGGCTGGAACATAGCAAAACCAATTTGCTTGAGGTTGACACATAATATGTAGAAAAATAAAACATATTATGACATAATGATATCAAGAGAAGTTAATTAAACCTCAAGTTCAATATTATTGAACTTTTGTTAAAATATTTTTGTTATCATCCATTAAAACCATTATCTCAAACTCTTTCAAAGTGTTTGGCCTAGTCGATTGCATGAAATAAACAACAGGCAGGACTTTGTTGTTATAAGCTGTAGGGGTTATGGGCTGTAGGGGTTTGGGGAGGTTACCATCTATACTATTACATAAATAACCTTAACTGGATATCCTCTCGGCCGTGTCTGCCATCACATCAATCAGTCCAAAGCAATACTATTGTTTCTCTGTCTGACTACAGTTGTCGTTTTGTCTGTCCATTGTTGTTGCCTATAACTACAAACGTAAAACGTTAAATAAGTAAGTGTGAGTGTATATGTGCGTAATGTGTGTGCGTCTGCGTGCGTACGTGCGTGCGTGCGCCCGATGGGCACGTGCCACAACTGATGTCCCTGGCATGAGAGAGAAAAACTAGGCCTAGAATCACTTAATTTGTTTATAATCAATTTCATGTTGAATAAAGTAATATGAACACAGTTCTGCTACTGATGTTCCAAGCATGAGAGAGAAATTGGGTCTAGAATCTATGTTTATAATTAATGTTAAGCTGAATAAAGTAATATGATTGCAGTTGCTGTTGCGTCTTCTTACGGCGGAATGAGAAAATACATTTTGTGAAATACACTCAGAGACTTGTTTCACATTCCGAGCCCAGTCAAGCCTGACGCTGCTCAGGAGTGGCCTCCCTTACATGTATTGTACCATTCAGCAGGGACGCTTGGAGAAGGAAGAAGTATAGTCGACTCGTAAAGAATGGAAAGTCTTCTTGAAACGTTCAGAAACCTTGACCTATCACAGAAAATCCTATATGGCGTCGGATGTGCGGCAGTGACCACTGTGTCCTTCGTCGCTTTGAGGAAACTCACGCAAAAGTATGTTGTTACCTGCTGCAGTCGACACTGAAACGCAGTCAACCGGTGAAGAGATAAATTTGTTTCCCATGACATTTCATGGGGTATTGATCGGGTTTTAACAATTTGTGGAAAGGAATGGGCGAGTTATCTGAAAACATAACACAAACAGGCTGTATTATGAGTTAGCTTAGTATATTTTCCATGTAATGAATCCTTAACTATGTCACAAGCAAAGCTGAAGACATATTTCTAGCCAGTGAAACTGATACATTTTATCTGCAATGCGGTTAAGGGGTGAGGGTACTTAAGGGACGGTCATTTACAATAACGTTGTTTCGTTGTATAGAGAGAAGCGTAAAGAGTATCCCCGAGATACGGTGATCCTTCATCAGATCGGTAGAGGTCCTTACGCCCCCAGCATGACACCGTTTGCTGTGAAGCTGGAAACCTACCTCCGGATGGCCAGGATACCCTACCAGGTGGGTGAATGAGGTGTTGAGTCAGTGAGTGAGGTAAACCACTGGGAAGGACAGAACAAACCATCGAAGCAAAAGTCGTTGTGCACAGTCAGACAGATACACATTGTAACCACCCGATCCGCATAAATCGACTCTGACTTCACTGACTACAATGTTCGAGATCGGAGATAACAGTCACAGCTTATTGGTAATTCCTACATTGTTGTCAACTAATATATGTATACATTGTGACCTGGCTGTTTGTGTATATCCTGATGTGTATACTGTTGTTCATTCTATCAACCACTAGGCAGTGAAAGTTGATGTTTGCAGTTAATCACTCATCTTCTGCCCAGAACCTCGCTACACAAGACATACATACTTATGGTAATATATGAGGCGATTGCTTTATAAACCAAAACGAGATCACCGAAGAAGGCTCTGTGTGTCCGTCCGTGCGTGCGTTTGTCTGTGCATGCATGCGTGTGTAAGAGGTTTAAGGGACAAGAAGAAGGTTACACCGGTTATATCGTGGAAGACCACGAGATATCGAGTAACGTCGCGTCTTCAGGTTAACTCAAGAAACACATCACTTACAGTATCATGTAGAAATTTCCTAGTTTACATATACCAAAGTAGGGGATATTCCATTTTGCGAGCATACCACAAGCCAATGCCAATCCATATGAGAAAAATAGTATATATCCATACAGATGAAACATTTCCAAAGGAATAGAATAAATTGTCACATTAACCCTTAATTTCTCTTCATCATCTCTTTCCTCCTTTGCTTCATCATTTGCATTTTATCAATCTTGTAAATCCAATATCCCCTACTTTTTTTTTGAATGGTATATATTCACATAAGTCACAGTTTTTCTTCTGCGCATAGTTCCTCATGCCGTGTCACGTTTTCCATAGAACGTCCATGGAATGCAACCTTCACCTAAGGGCAAGGTCCCCTGGATTGAGTACAATGGCCAACCTATTGGGGACACCACGCTGTGTATAAATTGCCTCAATCAGAAGCTTGGGGTGGACCTCAACAAGCGCCTGAGTCCAGCTGACAAGGGTATAGCGCAAGCGATGCAGGTCATGACGGAGGAACATCTGTACTGGTACGTCATCTTTAATTGGTCTTCAGTAACCCATGCAACGAGATAGGGTGGTCAGGCTCGCTGACTTGGTTGACACATGTCATCGTATGCCAGTTGCGTAGATCGATGCTCATGCTGTTGATCACTGGATTGTCTGGTCAAGACTCGATTATTTACAGACTGCCGCCACAAGGCCATATAGCTGGTCTATTGCTCAGTGCTGCGTAAAACTAAATCATTCATATGGAAGACATATAAATTATTGACGCATCAGTGACAAAAATTATGTCTGATGCAGTTCCCTATTTTGACATATAGCATATTTCCAACGTACTGATGATTTGAAATGATTCCGATCCAGGTTGCTTGCCCAAATCCGCTGGTTGTACAGCAGAGACGCATCGTTTATTTTGGAAACGTTTAAATTCTCCAAGTTCTTTCTATGGATGATACGACGACATATCAGAAAACAAACATGGAGTCAGGGATTGGGTCGCCACACGGAGGAAGAGGTCGTTGAAATGATGTATAAGGACTTCCAATCTATCTCCGACTTTATAGGTATTTATTTGTGGAAATTGAGTTTGGTAGTGAGTCTTTGAACAGTCATTCGGTTATATTGCTGGGTGCATTCACCTTGGAGATTCCTGCTACGACTGTTGTAAGCCTATGTTACAGTATAGGAGGTACGACAGTCGTAGCGCTACGATAGCTTTGTGAAACGGGACCCTGTGGTTGCCGTTTCACCAATGCCTCTCATAGCTACGACGTCCTAGCGGATACGACCGACTTTAGGATGTCCTAGCGAAATGATTTACGACCGTTCCACTAAGATAAAAATTTAAGAGCTGTCGTAAGCCTATGTTACAGTATAGGAGATACGTCTTTCGTGGTGCTACGATAGCACCCCGTTGTGAAACGAGGCCCTGGTTTACGATGTGGTTTAGGACGTCGTAGCGCTAAGAGGCTTTCGTGAAACGGCACCCTGGTTAGAACTGGTTACTGTGTTGTGTTGGTAGTAATAGGTGACCAAAACGGATCGGTAGTCACTCTAACAGACTGGTTTGATAGCGTGTCACGACGGCTTGAAACATGCCTCTAAATATCATTCACAGGATTGCCCGGTACAATCTCGAATATCCACAGTCCGCTGTCTTGCAGTTGGACTAGTGCCATGCGAGGCTTAAAAGAGCAAACGAAACTGACAAAACAAACTCAACCTGTATCAACTTGCTTTGAACAGGAGGCAGTACCTCAACCCAAAGTTTTGCAGGTCTGAGACAGAAACTCAGAAATATAATTTTGACTCCAACTTAAGGTTCGAATCCAATTCTGCAACCCCTTGGCTCCAGACTGAAATGAAGAGATTTTCATATATTGTTATATTTAGTGATTAAGTATATAGGTTACGTAAGTCAATAATTTATAAACCTTAAGTTTCCCAATCGCCCGAAACAGACGGTCAGTTGTTTCAAGAAGCCTTTACTCTTTTAACGTGCCCCGACCACATGTTTGATTGTCCCTGTCCATTTTAATTAACCAGTAACAATGGAGAAAAACCAACAGAGGACATGAATATCATAATCCCTCTTCTCTTCGATGCTGTATGGAAATCTAGCGGTGAAGATCCGGGTTAGAATTGGTCTTCAGCAACCCGTGATTGTGGTAAGAGGCGACTAACGGGATCGGGTGGTCAGGCTCGCTGGCTTGGTTGACATATGTCATCGTATCCCCATTACGTAGATCGGTGACCATGCTGTTGATCACTGGATTGTTTGGTTTTGTATAGCTGGAATATTATGAGTGCGGCGTTAAACAACAAACCAAACAACCAACTGTATGGAAATCGAAAAGGAAATATTATATTTTTTCCCCTTTGTTAGATAACTTGATATGGTTTATACATACTTATCCTGTACAATCTGAATGGAGGTACAGGTACAGGGACATCATTAACTAAGTTACGTCCTGTATACTAGGGATGAAGAAGTTCCTGATGGGGGATGATCCCTGTGAAGCGGATTGCTCTCTGTTCGGTATGCTGTCTCAGGCATATTGGCAGTTTAATGGATCTGGATTTGAGAGTCTCATAAAAGGTAAAACCCGGAAAACAGGTTGGCAGTGATATTCCCATTAATTACCTGATCGAAATTATCACTCTCGTCACATATACGTCATTGTTATTCCTGAGTAGTAAACTGTTACATGCGTTCTATTCCACTCACTTTTCATACATATTCGCGATGTGAATTCCAGATGAAAGGGTTTTGAGAAATTTTAAATTATTCTTATTGAAAGTGTGTAATGTTTGCAAATGCTGTATAAGTCAATATCAACGTGGGCGGTGGGGTAGCTTGGTGGTTAAAGCGTTTGCTCGTCACGCCGAAGACCCGGGTTCGATTCCCTACATGGGTACAATGTGTGAAGCCCATTTCTGGTGTCCCCGACGTTATATTGCATTAATATTGCCAAAAGCGGAGTAAAACTAAACTCACTCACTCAATAGCAACGAGTTCAACTGATAAAGAAGGCTGAGTTGTGTCTTACACCACGGGGAACGGTATTTTGTTTTGTTTGTTTTGCATTTTGCATGTTGATATAGTGACCAAATCCCGAGTTGATGCAGTTCTGAGTTATGTCCGTGGTTATGCAAAAGAAGAGTACTTGAAACCAAGTTCAATTAAGGACATTTTGAAGTGCAGTTCTCCGCAGTCAATAGCACTCTGGACGATGTTTACCTTATGGCTAAAGAAATTGCTCCAAAACTCTCGTCGGTATTGTCTCTTTTGAAGTATTTGTGTATGATGTATGACATATGCATAGTGGTGTTTGTGGAACATTTCTGTTGATAACATCTTATTTCCCCCAGATAAATATCCCAACCTGGCTGCCTACTGTGAACGTATGAAGGAAGCATTCTGGCCCGACTGGGACCAGTGCATCACACACGGTGGAACAAGGGAGGCAACCAAATGAAGGGAGATAACTCAGTGACTGCCCGTCCATTAGGCCTTAAAACATGAGATATTATAATTGTTTGACCGAATATGGAGCTGAATTATATTATGTATTCATATAATATGTGTTTGAGTGTAAGAGAATCAGTGAATATAATTTTACGGCTCTTGCCGCAGAATTTCAGCAGTGTATCGACGGGGAACTCCAGGAACGGAAAATGTTTGAAAGAATGTGAACTAGTGTAGCCAAGTGGTTACATCACTTTGTTTTGTTTGAAGACCCGGGTTCGATTTCGAATACGATGCGCGAATAACGTCGCCGAAATAATGCTCAAAACCCCTCTCACATAGATATTTTATTGTTCATGAAATATTCACTGACCTGTGAGAAGAAGTATAATGAATTCAACTTGTTTTAATCCAGAGTGACTGTTTACATCTAACTGATGTACGTTGTATTCGGTAATATTAAGAACGTAAGTGCTTTAAATAATTTTTACTCATATTAACTGTTACTAATAACATATATGCTTCAATTGCGTGTTTTTATGTTCAAGTGAGTGAGTGAGTTTAGTTTTATGCCGAACTCAGCAATATTCCAGTTATATGGCGGCGGTCTGTAAATTATCGGGTCTGCACACAAGCCGTCTTAGCTATGACTGTCGTAACCCTACGTTAAAGGCACAATGTCACACATTTTCGACTATATTTTGGCCTATATGTTATATATTGGAGTCATATATGCACTCACTTAAGCTTCCTATTGATGCAATTGAAGACTTATTATCCCTTACCTGTTGCCTGAAATTGATAATTGAAACTTCGAGGCATACAGCTCCCAAACAGATAACACTTGTCATATATGGAATGTAAACGATTGCTCCGTACATCGAAAACTGTCGCACGCGGTGTTATCGGTGTTTGCCGAACTGGTGGTGGTGGAATTGGGTTTAACGTCGTGCTTGAGAATATTTCGCTCATATGACGACGTGCATGCGTGTGTATGTGTATGTGCGGCTGCTTGTACTAGCCCAGACTTAAGCTGGTTTTATAGTGCTAGCCCACTGACATACCATGCCGCAGTGAAGCATGAATACCCCTCTCAGACACATTATACTGACTCCGAGCCGACGAGTCCTTGTTGTACCGATTATTGCCGAGCGCCAGGCAGGGACCAACAAGTACCATATTTTAACGTCTTTAGGTATGACGCGGTCGGGGATCGAACCCGCGACCTTCCGCACTCCGGGCGGACGCTCTAACCACTACACCACGGAGACGGTCGTTTGCCGAACTGGACTCAATCACAAGTTTCATTAAAGGGTATTCGTGAAGAGCGTTCCAAGTGACATAACTCTATGGGGTTCGCTTGGAATAATGTTAGACCGGTAGAGGGCGCGAGAGTCGATTTAATGCAACGTTAACGTTGCATTAATTCATTCGAACGTTTTAATTTAATATTGTAATCTAAATACTAATTTGTTTTTTGGGATAAATTATATGGTACCTTCCCAGGGGGCTGATAGTTAGTGTTATTGACAGAAATGCATTTCTGTATTTTTAGAGATATGTAGGGGCGGTGGGGTAGCCTAATGGTTAAAGCGTTGGCTCGTCACGCCGAAGACCCGGGTTCGAATCCCCACATGGGCACAATGTGTGAAGCCCATTTCTGGTGTCCCCCCGCCGTGATGTTGCTGGAATATTGCTAAAAGCGGCGTAAAACCAAACTCAGTCAGTCAGTTTAGAGATATGTGGTGTGACATGGTGCCTTTAAAGTATAGGTGATACGATAGTCGTAGCGTTGTGATTGCTTTGTGAAACGCGGACTTGGTCCACACTCGCCTGTGACAGAGCTGGGAGACTGAAGAAACACCCGCTTAGGACACCATTCATTTATATTTGTTTCCATGGCTGCATCTATCAGCTTTCACAGTATGTCATTATATTATACATAACATATCTAACTGGTCATATGCTGACCTGTCAAGCAAGCATTATGGAGAAACACATTTTCACTAAAACCTGTCTGTGTACCATGTACAAATTTCTATTTTGTTTCAAGCAAAATATTTTGATATAAGATCATTTGTTACATCGAAACACACCCGTGGGGATTTCTATTTGTTATATGTTCCCAGCAGCCAGTGTTAGTCCACGAGGTGTTTGCATGGATCAGCTGTTTGCGGTTAAATTTCGCTTACTTGAAATTTGTTAACACTTGTCATAACATCCGACCGCCATGAATCGTTGTCAGTTTCTCGTCCCTCTTGTCGATTCGAGGTGGCGGGTTAGTCTAGCGGTTTGTGCGTTCGTTCGTCACGCCGAAGACCCGGGTTCGATTCTCCTCGGGGACAGAATGTGTGGAGCCCATTTCTGGTGTCGATGTGATGTCCTCCTCGCTGTGATGTTGCCGTTCTATATGACGTTCTATATTTATTATATACCCTCTTCTCCTGCATTAGTCTGTGACTTAATAAAACAAATCAATAGAACCGGCAGGGGTTTAATATGGAATCTGGGGTTTAATACGGAATCTGGGGTTTAATACGGAATCTAGGGTTTAATACGGAATCTGGGGTTTAATACGGAATCTAAGGTTTAATACGGAATCTGGGGTGCAATACGGAATCTGGGGTTACCAGCAATACGGAATCTGGGGTGCAATACGGAATCTGGGGTGCAATACGGAATCTAGGTAGTAATACGGAATCTGGGGTGCAATACGGAATCTGGGGTGCAATACGGAGTTTGACCGTATTGCACCCCTCGTATACTATCCTAGGTGTCCTCCCATTACGCAGACAGCCAGTTCGCAGACACCTTAAAACAACAACATTTACGGTTCAGTGAACAGATTATCTACTACCTGTTACCTACACATTATAATGGAATAGTCAAAATAAAAACACAGGAAAAAACTGAAGCTATATTGTTTATTTTGAAAGATGGACGAAAAGACAGTAATTTGAATTTTTATTGCTGCAATATAAAAACAGTTTATTTTCATAAACATTTCGGTTTAACCTTCTAGTCTAACGGGAGTTGGCATCATCATATTGAAAACATTAACTTAGCTATTAGAAATTGCGACACTGTTGTATCGTATAAATCAAATAAAGACAAATATGAACCTAAATATTTTTCATATGGAATAAAGAAGTTATATGTTTTGCACACAATATTAAGATATATGACGAGTGCACTTAACTACGATTTATTTAGAATAATTGTTAAAATATGACGCATCATGTGAATGTGACCATGGATGTGAGAATGTTTTTCATTACTTCCTTGAATGTCCATTGTATACTACTCAAAAACACAAACTGTTACAATCTTTAGAAAGTATTGGTAAAATTAGAACGCTGATTGGTATTAACCGTATATTACATGGCAATGCAGGTGTCTCATTTACTGCAAATTAGAATGTTTTCAAATATGTACATATCTATATCTCTCAAACAAAACGTTTTCTCAGTTAACTTCTGCTGTACATATGCTATTATTGGGAGGGGTCTTTTCTATCAATAAACACAATCAAACCTCTCAGTGACAAACCTGTTTTTTATATTCGACAGTAATTGATAGTAAAATCAATTTTGAGAAGAGAAATCATTTATCATTTAATCACAAGAAAGTTCTATTTGCCCACAATCAAACTTCTCAGTAACGAACCTGTTTCAGGCTCACTCTGCTCTGCTCACTAGACAGTGGACTGTTCCATTATACCCGTTGGTGTTACCCTAATTAACCTTCTAGTTCAGTGTCTGCCAATTGGGTGTCGGTCAAATGGGTGTCTGTCAATTGGGAGATAACCCTATCCTAGGTTTACATGGGTATATAATAAATACATGTACACAATATGTAACAGGAATATTCCTGTATGCCACGTTTATCAACGCAAACAGAAACAAGTGTCAGGTGCACGAATGACGATTTCAATAATAACACGAGCTGCGAGTGAATGAGTGAGCTTAGTTTTACGCCGCACTCAGCAATATTCCAGGTATATGGCGGCTGTCTGTAACTAATCACGTCTGTACCAGACATTCAAGTGATCAGCAGCATGATGACATGTGCCAACCAATTCTAATCCGGATCCACGAGCAGCGAGGAATGCTGCAGAATGGTATTACCCCTGCAGGAAGGATACTTATTCTTAGTTCCCAATCGTGAGTAGGTTATTTGATATATCATTTCGTTTCTGAGAAATATACTGAGTTAAAAAAAGAAACTTCACAAAATGTAATTTAAAAAATAATGAATAATTTTTTTCTGATGATACATCTATGTATCCGAAATGGGATCCCTATCTTTCGACTCTAGAAAAACGTTAGCAAAACCCACTCAAACCCAGCCATTCGTCGTGCAAATGATGTTAGTGCCAAATCAGGTTTTGCACATGCAGTCGATCACGTGATCTTCGCATCGAAGTTTTCTTCAAATGCACGTGTTTGCATTGGCCTCAAGAATTGAAAAAAACACTTTTAAACCACAGTTCTAACGGTACTTGCAATGACACGATTGTCAAATGTGCAACGTGAACGTGCCGTTGGCATGTTGCAAGCGGGAAGATCAGTTATTGACGTCGCAAGAGCAATGGGATGCAGCCGTCGTACTGTGTATGACTTGCGAGGTCGTCTACAACAAACTGGCACCACTTCTGATCGCCCAAGGTCGGGTCGTCCACGTGTGACGTCACGAGCAGAAGACCGTCAAATCGTCCTACGTCACCTACGTGACAGATTTCTGCCGGCTACACGAACCAGGGCTGAGATGTTTAGAGGTCGACTGTCCTCACAGACCATTCGAAATCGGTTGCGGGCTGCCAATCTCCATTCTCGACGTCCATATCGTGGGTCAATATTGACGCCGTTTCATCAACGTCAACGTCTGCTGTGGGCCCAACGTCACCTCCGATGGACCCAGAGAGACTGGAATCGAGTCGCCTTTAGCGATGAATCCAGGTTTACCCTCAGATTCGCGGACGGCAGGCATAGAGTCTGGAGACGACGTCGTGAACGGTATGCCCAATGTTGTGTACAGGAAGTCGACAGATCCGGGGGCGGAAGTTGCATGGTGTGGGGTGCTTTCTGTGGGAACAACCGTTCCCGACTTCTGGTCATCCGTGGAAACCTCACAGCTGCTGCTTACCGCGACCAGGTGCTCACCCCTGAACTCGTTCCTTTCATGGCGGCTCATTGCCCAGGTCTACAGTTTCAGCATGATAATGCTCGGCCGCATACCGCGATGTTGACACGAAATTTCCTTCAAAACGCGGGAATCAACGTCATGGACTGGCCATCGAGGTCCCCTGACCTTAATCCAATAGAGCACGTTTGGGATGCACTTGGGAGAAGGCTTCGTGGTCTTAGGAACCAACCTCAGAATTTGCAGGAACTTGGCGCTGCCTTGCAAGAGCAATGGCGCAGAATCCCCAACCACGTGTTCACAAGCATCAGGCAGTCGATGAGGAGACGGTGTTTGGCTGTGGTGAATGCGCGGGGCGGCCATACACGATATTGAACTGAGAAAT